AAGTATACGCAATTCGACAATATTTTGGATTTTGATGAAATTTTTAATGTATATAGAACTAGTTGAACTGCATCTGAATATTGAAAAAATTAAACATATATCAGTGTTTTCCCAAGGATTTTTCTATAGCACTGTAGTAACTTAAGCACGGGCAAGTAAACTAGGTAACCTTTCAGGTAGAGACTTGATATAACATTTGTAATGCAATGTTGGCTATATTAAAACAAATTTAAAAAGATTTGTATTTATATTGATTGATATGCAATGCCAGATAGAAGACTGACATGTCAGTAAGGCCCTGCTTACACATTTTTGTGTGAAATACAGCAATTCATGTTCATGGGTTGTCACTTTTTATAAATTTTGACACCAGCAATTAATTCAGGATATGTTCTTGATAAATATCAGTTTTGTTAAACTCATAGCACCAGGGCCCATGCTACTGAAATCTTAAATTTCTTTTAGTATTCCAATTCTAGAAGGTGCACTGATTTTTTTACATTTTGTTGTATAAAAGTTTTCAATTTGATGACTTTGATATGGATGGACAGTGGAATCTGTAAAGGAGGAATCAAGATATACATGTAGTATGGTTTTTATGGAAGTTGACTGAATAATTTCCAGAGAGAGGCATTGAAAATGCACTTTTTCAAGAGGAAAAAAATAGTAACTCAGGGTTCTCACTAGGATATTTTTATGTTTTCTATGTTATTGTATATAGATATAAGAAGATGAGGTATGAGTGCCAATGAAACAACTCCCCATCCAAGTCAAAATTTATAAAAGTAAACCATTATAGGTCAAAGTTCGGTCTTCCACACGGAGCCTTGACTCCCACCGAACAGCAAGCTATAAAGGGCCCCCAAAATTACTAGTGTAAAACCATTCAAACGGGAAAACCAACGGTCTAATCTATATAAAAAACGAGAAACGAGAAACACTTATGAACCACTTCAACAAACGACAACTACTGAACATCAGATTTAGGACAGGTGCAAACAATTGCAGCAGGTTTAATTGTTTAAATGGTACCAAACCTTCACCCTTATCTGAAACAATAGTGTAACATCACAACATAGAAAGACACAATATAAAATATCAATTGAAATGGCTTAAAGACATATTAACACCAGTGAACATACACTGAATAAATATGTATGCCGACTTTGAATAAAATTTATTTACTTATGGGGAGTCCTGGGACTCATCACTTTTTGTAATGGTGAGTCCTAGCCAATTCTGACGAGTCCATAGCATGTCGTTTGTTAATATGAATCTTCTTATTTGGCTTATTGTGCTAATTGAAATGAATGGAATGATTTTTTTAACACCATGAACACTGATTAATTCAGATTAATAGTACATTATGATTATAATATATACAACAAACAAATCTTTGTTAACTGAATCCCGGCTCTAACATTAAATGTTTGGAGTTTTCAACCCGAATAAATCAGTCGTTATATTATGATCTAGGATAACTACATTAACGCCTGAATGCATAGACAATGAAAATTGTCAATCAATCATTCGGAATTAGCTCGGGACTTACCTATCTCGATAAAACTGAGCTGACTGCTGATTGGTCACCTCTCCTACAGGGCACCAATCAAAATCCAGAATTTGTGAAGAGTTTTTAGCGTGTAAGGAATTCAGGCCTTTGCTAGTAGGAGAGATTGATTACGATGAGGGGACTTCACTATTTGGGTTAGGGGTTTTCTCATTGTTGAAGGCTGTACAGTAAATTGTAGTTGTCTATTTGGGTTAGGGGTTTTCTCATTGTTGAATGCTGTACAGTAAATTGCAGTTGTCTATTTGGGTTAGGGGTTTTCTCAATCTTGAAGGCTGTACAGTAAATTGTAGTTGTCTATTTGGGTTAGGGGTTTTCTCATTATTGAAGGCTGTACAGTAAATTGTAGTCTATATATGGGTTATGGGTTTTCTCATTGTTGAAGGCTGTACATTTAATTGTAGTTGTTTGCATCTTTGCTCTGTCTTCTGAGGATAATTCCTACCACATCCCAATTTATTATTTCATATGTAGTTTTTTATAACTAACAAGTGCAACTGTTGAATTTACTGTGATTATTAACAAATTCTTTCATCTATCTACAGTGAAAAATGCTCAGAAATCTCCAAATATGATTGAGAAAAATCTTTTAGTTTATAAAAATAAACAAATATTTCAATTAAATATTTCTTAACCTCATAATGTTTCAAGTTTTTTTTTAATGAACATTTTCTCCTGCTAATTGCATCAAACTTGTTATAATCCCCTTAATCACCTACATTGTTTATGTTACATAATTTAATTATCCATTTGAATATATACATGTATATATTGGGTTGCAAACATTTGATAATAACTTGGCTTCTTCGACACATTTATTGCCAGTAAGAGGTAAATGTGCTTATGTAAACAGAATTCGATCTTCTTGGCATTTATCAAATTAACGTAATTCAATCATATGATCATAATCATTTTCGACTCAATCAGGATTATCATTATGCATAGCAATGAATGAAAACGAAAATAAATTTCCAGTAAAAATATTGACAAGGAGCAACTTTCAGCTACTTATGATAGTGAATGGATGATTCTGATAACAGGATCAGCTAGTGATATCAAGATGCGTCCTGCAGACACAGGGGTTCATGAAATAGCACGTCCAGACAGAAAACCATTTGTCCAGGACGTGTATATGCGCCTTAAAGTGAACCCAAAGTAACGAACTTTTATATAAATAGGTGTTCATTCTTCATTGCAAAAATTACATTTCCTGTATTCAAATATACATGTTAAAATACCTTATACTTTTAAGTGGCGATATAATGGGAAATAAACATGAACAAATACATTTTATAGTAGAAAATGCTAACGTTAGTTATGCATTTTTTTTATTATTGCTTCAAGCAAATCACTAATAATAGTAACTTAAATTAATGACTAATATCAGAAGATTAGGACAATGATTTTACAAGTAAAATTGACCCTGCTGGCATTTTTTATACAGTACATCGTATTAATCCTTAATCATTCATCTTTGACACATAATTTACTGAATAATTGTAAGTCATGTGGATCAAAGGTAATGAGTAAATCTATCATTTCTATATATCAACAATCTAAGATACTATTGAGGTCAATTATGTAATATAAGAGGTGTTGTATTAAATAACTGAACAGACACTTTATTACACAACTCAATGGACAATTCTTGACCTTAATTTGTCTTAGGAAAGAAAGGGAACAACAGTATTTCAAATAAGTGTGGGAATCCACTTTGTTATCAATACACAGCTTGTACCAAATTTTATTCAATTATTTACACATGCAAAAAAACTGATAAAATACTTTCCTACTTGTAATTAACTGCTTAAATCTGATATGTATTTCTTTACATTAATTCAAAAATAGTAATGTTTTACTGTGCGTATTGCTGTGTGTTTGTTTATTCTACATTAGCTAGAGGTAAAGGGGGGGGGGGGGGTTTGAGATCTCACAAAACCTGTTTAACCCCGCCGCATTTTTGCGCCTGTCCCAAGTCAAGAGCCTCTGGCCTTTGTTAGTCTTGTATGTTTTTTTAACTTTAGTTCATTTAAAGTTTCAGAAGTTTAGTGTGACGTCCATTTTCATTGAACTAGTACACATTATTGTTTAGGGGCCAGCTGAAGCCAGCCTCCGGGTGCGGGATTTTCTCGCTGTGTTGAAGACTCATTGGTGGCCTTGGGCTGTTTTCTGCTCTTTGGTCGGGGTTGTTGTCTCTTTGACATATTCTCCATTTCCATTCTCAATTTTATACATGTATCTTGTAAGTTTTGATTTACAAAATACGGGTTATGTACTTCTCGTAAATTTTATGATGGTATGATACTAAACCCCTACATGCCCTAACGGGAGGGATTGTGCTTGATTTTCATATGATGAAGACATAATCTTTCAATCAGTTTAATTGAGGTCTGGAACTGGCATGTCAGTAACTGCTAGTAGTCCTTTGTTAATTTATGATGATCATTGTCATTTTGCTTAGTTTCTTCTGCTACCTATTCTAACAAGGGACTCAGACTTCTTTTTAACTGAGTTTTACTGTGCGTATTGTTGTGTTTGTTTATTCTACATTGGCTAGAAGTATAGGGGAGGTTTGAGATCTCACAAAACATGTTTAACCCTGATGCATTTTTGCACCTGTCCCAAGTCAGGAACCTCTGGCCTTTGTTAGTCTTGTATGTTTTTTTAATTTTGGTTCATTAATATGTTTCGGAGTTTATTTTGATGTCCATTTTCTCTAAACCAGTATACATTTTTTATTTAGGTGCCAGCTAAAGCCTGCCTCCGGGTGCGGGATTTTCTCGCTGTGTTGAAGACCCATTGGTGGCCTTGAGCTGTTCTCAATTTTATTAAAGGTACTTTATGCAAGTGTATTTAAAATTAAGTAGCTGTTCAACCACTCTTTTTCTAACTTAAGGGCAAATATCAAAATGGTGTCTATTCTTCAAGTCATAAAACACATCAATACACCTTATCGCTAATCCCGCTTGACCCGAGAATCAGTCCCGCTCGAACTTTTGACGTCATACAACAATCACTTTTCCATTGTGGCGTCAGATATTTTCTATTATGACGTCAAAATTTTACGGGAACTTGTGTGATGTCCAGTAATGGCGGACAAATAGCGATAAGGTGTATAGTTTCATAATAATATGTCTTCTTCAGAAATCTGAACCATGTTAATGTAATACTAATAGAGAACCTATGTTTCGTGACAATATTACTACAGCATTACAGACATACTTTCAAAGGAGGATCAAGTAACCTTTAGTCCAAATGAACTGAAGTACCAACAGAACAATACTGTCCAGCATCTATAATTTTGCAAAAATTAACTGAAACCAAACTAAGTATGTTGTTAGCCATCCAACGCCTTTTCAAACAATGAAACCTGTATTCTTTCTTGTTGTCCCATATGGATTACAAACAAACATTGTGTGCGTCTACTTACAAATATTTCGTTTTGTTTCCTTCGTGTTTCAAAACATGTTGGAATACTGCACAGTATCAATATTTTTATTTAAACTTTCGCACTCGCAATATCTAGGTAAAATTAAAATTCAAGATAAAGCATGAATTTAACAATCGGCCTATAATCCTTAACGGCTACATTAGCTGATGAAGACTCTTATCCTTTTAAATAATACAAAACTTTTGCATACAACAGTAAATTTACTTTTTACGAACTTTCTTGTCACCTGTCCGCCATTAATATTTTCCTTGCCAACATACCCATAATGCAATGTGGTTTACACTTTGACCTTATGTCAGATAAGGTCATATTCTTTTTAGCTACGGCTTTTGGTACGTATATGGCATATTAATTACATAATAGATCATACATAATAAGTGTTGTAAACAATGACTATATTAATATGTAATATTATAAACAATGACTATGATTTAAAGACATATTGACAATTCTATAGAGTTTGCTCATCTTTACGCAGGATCAAACTGTCTGAAATGAAAGAGGAAGTCAATCTTAGGATTGTATATGAATTGTTATTTAATAAAAAGTTTATATTATTTTCATTTTTTTCAAATTTTGTAGGATCATCGATTATATTTGAAACTTTTTGGTAAAATATGGCCCTTTTAGTTGAGTATTTTTCACAATGTAAAAGAAAATGTTTTTCATTTTCAATTTGACCCGAATTACATACAGAGGAGTATCTCTCATTTCTGGGAATATTTAGATGTCTCCCTCTTTCAATCATCAGTATAGGAGCACTTATACGGATCTTACATATTGCAGCTCTGTCACTTCTGTTTCTTAAAATATCAACATAGGGTGGTCTTCGACCCAATATGTAGACGCTCTTGAAAAAGTTTAACTTCTTAGATTCAAGTATATTTGCATTTTGAACTTGCAAACATTGGTCATAGGAACTTCTTAAAGAAAAAAGATTTAAGGGGAGGGTTGGGCTCCCGCTAACATGTTTAACCCTATGTGCCTGTCCCAAGTCAGGAGCCTGTAATTCAGTGGTTGTCGTTTGTTTCTGTGTATCATATTTGATTTTCGTTGATTATTTTGTACATAAATTAGGCCGTTAGTTTTCTCGTTTGAATTGTTTTACATTTGTCATTTCGGGGCCTTTTATAAATGACTATGCGGTATGGGTTTTGCTCATTGTTGAAGGCCGTACGGTGGCCTATAGTTGTTAATTTCTGTGTCATTTGGTCTCTTGTGGAGAGTTGTCTCATTGGCAATCATACCACATCTTCTTATCTTTATAATTAGTAGCATTTTTATATGGTATGTCAGTTGTTTAATGTATTTGTTTCAGCTTTAAGTTAAATGAAAAATATTCTTTTTCATTTCATTAATAGTAATTTAATATGGGACAAAAAATATGTATATATATATATATATATATATATATATATATATATAGTATAATAGTCCCAGATTTAATACAGAAAAATTTCTTGCTAAATATATTGAGAATTGGGTCTTTCATCAGAAATGTTCTCAGATCTTTATTTTGAGTCCTTTGAGTCACCATCATGTATTACTTGTGAAGTTGATACGGAATATTTATCAACAAGGTCTTGGTATCTTCCGATGAACTTTTTTTTTTAAATACGAGACGTTCTTTGACATAACCCTGGTTCATCAACTTTCTGCTCAGACACTGATGACGTTTTATAAAGTCTGAGTAGTAGCTGCAAACTCTTCAATACCGAATGAGTTGTGAAATGTATATCCCATATGCAGGTAAAGTTGGTATATTACTGCTAAGATGGGGGAAATTTAAAATTTCAAAAAATAAAATCGCCTCGTTTGTCATAGATTCTGGTACTGAGATGACCATTGATGTCAAATTCGAGGTATAAGTCTAAAAATGAGGCGAAGGAAGCCGTATCTGTTGTTTCTTGTTCTGGAGGATATATCAATGGAACTCAATCAGAAAAGTCTGAATTATGAAAGAACATCATAAATATATCTGAATTATAAATTAAATAATCTGGCTTCTTTGATATTCTTGTTTTTTATAAGTGTATAAGTATGAATGCCGACAATTTGTTGAAAAAGTCTACCTCCAAATTCAACAAATATGTTGTCAATAAGAAACTCTACCATATTGATCACTTGTTCCTCTGTGTAGCATATGTTTTACCTTTTGTTCACTATTAACAAAATATGCCGTATGGTATTCCAAAGCAATGAATGTAAAGCGTATGCTACCATTTTTATATTGAAAAGCATTATGGATTATTTCTTTTACACGATTTTTCAATTTCACATGGAGAATGGAGGAATACAGGGTTGAAAAATCAAAATTTTTATTAAAATAAATTTCAGAGAAAGATCGATATTTAAAATTATCCAGAAGTTCTTTAGAGTTTTTCAGAATCCACATATGGTTTATACCACTACGAGAGTAAATAGTTTCACAGTATTTCTGAAGACCCTCTTTCACTGCGGACAGAATTTTTGTCAATATAATGGACGACTCCTTTGTAGAACATGCAGATGATTTGGTAATGTACCGTTGCTTGTACGGAATTTTGTGAAGCTTGGGTATCCAATACAAACAAGATAAGTCCTCAGATTTGTTGTTCAAATGTAATAGTCAATGAAGCCACGAAGGACATACGATTAGCCAAAATCTCATCCTTGTCAAATGATATTTTTTTGTATGTGAAATTACCTGAGTGCTCATTTATTCCTAATTATTTTACAAGACACTCATAGTAGTGCGATTTACATACAAAAATAATATTATTTGAAGCTTTGTCAGCAGGAACAACAACATATATATCGTGAAGAGATGACAGACATTTCATAGCTTCTTTGTCTCTAAAAACGGACTTTGGTCGATCATTCACACAGTTTTTCAACCTATGAATTCGACGTTTTAACAGAGACCTGATTGATTTGACCTATTCTGACAAAGTGTCCAGTTCAACTTCTTCTCGTTTAGCCCATGGCGTAGTCCTCAATGGAATCCATTATTATTTTGAATTTGTGGTTCCAATTGATGTGTTGGGGTTCTCTGAACTCAGGACCATGGGATATCACCTTTCGGAGATGGTCATGTTGAAATATGTTTAGATCCCGAGTAATAATATGACCAGAGGGGCAGAAAATATAAGGTGAGTGGGAACAGTCACGTGTCAGAGGTTTTTTTTTTTTTTGGAATTCTTCTAAATCAAGGTATTGCAATGCTTGCTTATAGTTAAATACTTTAGGTACAATGGTTTTGGTGTAACTGTAGGATACAATAGGAACAGACTGATTTTGACATCAATTCCTTTATTGAAAAAACGAACTGGAAGGAATTTCCTCTTTTCATCATGTATAGGTGCCGATCTTACTGGTTTAAAAAGACGGAAAAGAGCTATATCACAAATTATACTGACCAGTCTGTATATTGGATGTATTTATGCATCCCTTGTCAAGTGCTGCATAATCTATCAAACATTTAAGAAACTGGCAGTAAAAAAATAATAGTTCTAATGTTATGTAATCCTAGCGGACGATGAAGATGTGAGAGCAGGTCATCAAAGCTTCCAGAAGGCGATCTAAAAGAGGGACGAAAGATACCAGAGGGACAGTCAAACTGATCTAAATTTGGAAGCATTTTTCACATTGGGCCGATAATATTAAGCTCATGCGTTGAATTAAAAAACGAATTTCATCGTCGACAGAATTCTTACACAAATTTACTATTTAAGGAACGACTGTAATATTTTTTCTGTCTATGAAGAAATAACATCCAAATGGGGTTATTTAAAAGTGTGCACCACATTTTTGAGGTTATTTCGAATAGACGGAAAAAATATTGCAGTCATTACTTATAATTTATTTCAAAATTCCATTTTTATTGTGTAAATCATGAAAAAACGTTCGTGACGTCACGGTCACATGACAAAATTATGTCTATGAACTGATTTCAGCCAATCAGAAGACGTGTTACATCTAAAATTAAATTACCCACTAATATCTAAATAACAACATCTGTTTTGAATGCACCGAAATAAAAGAATTCGGAAAGAATTTTCAAATTGCTGGTATTGTTTTTTTTTAAATTAGAATATTTTTGAAAAAAGACCATGTAATTATTGATGTTTTCAATTCTGACAACCGTTAGTTTTAAATCATTGTATTCTACAGGCAACCCGAGACATATATACACATATATGTGAGAAAATTAATAAAAGATAATAACGGTTTCAATTCATCACATTTACTAGCGCTTTCACTGCTTTTGCAGATCTTCAGGTAATGTGACTTGTATACATAAATGTTATACAAAACAATTGATTGACGTTAACAATAGTATGACGTTAACAAATACAAGGGAGACTACTAATGTCATTTAAAAATTTGAGTAAAGTCTTTAAAATATTATTTAATGAAAAAATAGAATATTATTTATCATTTAATCCCGATTTGAGAATGTTTATCCTGACCGTCAATATATTACTATATATTATAAAAATCCTTATTATTTCTTAGTTGCATAACAACAATGTCAAATATTTAATTTACTTATGTCTTGTTACAATGCATTATGCGTTACGATGACAATACAATACAATACAATACAATATTTTTATTGTCGATCAAGGACGCCCTAAGAGAGCAGTATAATTACAAATAATTTATTACAATGATTATTATTAATTCTTAATGATATATAATGACAAAATATAGAATAGAGAAAAAATAAACACAAAAGAAAAAGCAAAACCCCAGATATGTATATGACATGTATACTCAGACACACGTATGTTTCAAGTTCTAGCGATAGAAATGTTCATTATTAGTACTTAAATCTTGTGCATAAATAGCCAGAGCCTTTCCTTTATCCAATGGAAAGGCTCTAAATCATTAAGCCCGATGTAAACAAAGCGCTATTTTCGAAAATGGCCGATGAATGAAAACAAAGTTGAAACCCCTGGTTAATGACTAGGTCTCTGCATTTTTTTCAGAGAAAAAGAGAGGGAAGTTATGAAAATAAAGCTTTGCGAGACAAAAACGTTGATTGTTTAACACATATATATTAGGAAAAGATTAGAAACCTATTAGAATGGCTGAGGATAAACCTGAATACTTGTCGGCAGAAGCACTTCGTAATCGACTGTATCACAGTCTTCGTGATAAAGGGGCTGTAGACACGATAAAGGTATACATTTGAATAGATGAACTCATGAACAAGCAATACACCAACTATACGTATGGAATGTTTAACTGAGCAATTTCAGGAAAGAAAAACCATTTTTTCAAATTTAGGCGGATCAACATGTGTGGACATGTTACTCCGTGCATTTATGACCCTTATTATGCAGAATTTAACCTAAATTTATCTGGTGCATTTTGACATAGTCAATATTGATATAAACCCTAGAAATATGCAGAGAAAATTATACCTTTATGACTTATTTTTTTCCTGGCAAGAATTTCCATAGAGCGTATATAATTTGAAGAGACATCTTGCCCTAATTACACATGTTCTCCCTGGGTCCATTAGCCCTAATTAAAAGATATTTATTAATATTGATGGTATCTAAAAAGCTATGCAGATATATTTTATATATATTAAAGAAAATAATGAAAATACAGATATCTTAAAATTCATGAAAAAAGCCATGGTACATTGTACATGTGTAATATTTAGAAATTAATTGGTTATTATTTCAGAGCAGTGATTGGTTTCATTGTTACATTTGTTTTTATTCAGAATTGATTTTGATGATTGTTGATTGTATTGCTAACCAGGTATAATTATGAAGTCTTTGATCGCCTTGGTTGTCTGGTGGAGCATGTTGGCCTCGAGTGTTGGGGGTTGTGGGTTCAAACCCTGGCCATGTCAGACCAAAGACTTTGAAATTAGTTTTGCTGCTTCTCCGCTAAGCATGCAGCATTAATGAGTAAGAGCAAAGGCTGGTCGGCTCCGAGTCAGAATAATGTCCCATACATGTGATGGACTGTGAAACTCAGATCAGGAGATTGGGAAATTTTGGTCAGGAGATTAGGACTCAGATCAGGAGGTTTTTTATTGACATAAATTTTGTTGTAAATGTGACCGTATGATATAGAAATTGTCTTTTAAAGTGTATTTTCTTCAACTTTCCATCCAAATGTAATATGTTTATAGTACCCTTGTAGCCTTTTTATTTGAATGATATCTTATTGCTGAAAAAAATTAATGAGAAGATTCTGTTTCTTGCTTTGTTTTTGATAATTGATTGTTGACTGCTTGTACATGTAAATACAGGGCTATGACATTTTCTTTGTGTATAGTTTTGAATTCATGTTTCCATCTCCTTACCATTGCCATTAGTATAGATAAATACTGTCAGTTTGGATCTTGTTGAGCATGATGAAAATTCGATTGGAGTGTGAAATAGCTAGTTAATTTTTTTTTGCTGAGTTGAAATTAATTAAATGTTTTTTTTTCGGCATCAAAACCACCCAATATTGGCAGTAATGTTGTGACAACAACATTCCACTTTTCTATCATTGCCGGTATTTCCCTTTAATCATCCTTTGAGTGTGCCATAGACAGAAGCCATATTGATTAATTAATATTCTATCACCTGAGCAGACACCTGTTTATTATTCAATCAAACTATTATCATTGTTACATGTAATTAGCCGCCGGTGAGGTCAAAATCAGTGTGTAATGTCAGTTACACCGGATATGTTTAGTACTCTTGGGTTTTTACCTCTTCAATAATAAACATAGTAAAAAATGATCAAAAATGGCAGTTGAACATTTTCATTCATGAAATATTTCATACACAGGATTTTTTTCTCTTCAACGGGAGGACGGGAGAAGACCCCTGAAAACGGGATTATTGTACTCCCGTCGGGAGGTTCACATGTATGGTGTCCGGGTAAGGTGACATGTCTTCCTGCAGACTGTTACCTTGTGAACTAGCACGTTAAAAATCCGGCTCAGCATGTCGGTTTAGTTCAAAGCAGGATTAACTTGGAAAATTGAAATGGAATAAACTGGTTTTTCTGAGGGGGTGGGCTTCCCTTTTGGTGTCTCATACATGCAGTTCAGAGGCCTAAAACTTCCAAAAATAGTGTAAACCCATGGGCGTATAACTACTGATTGTTTTTATTTTTGAAATACACATTGGGAACGACTGCTTATGGTTGCAGGTCCAGTTGAAGCCAAAAATCAGGAATAATCTGGAAATTTCGGATTTTTTGTGCAAATGACCTTCCATAGACTGCTTTACTCAGATCAGTTTCACTCGGACCTCAGCACTTGTGGTTTTTGTATTCACTGGGGTGTCGGTAAAACGTGAAGTACTAACATTGAACTATGGTAACGTTTAATTCATAGCGCTGTAGTGAATGACATTATTGTATAGATTTCATAACTATCACGATGATTAAACATATTTTACAATCACAACATATTTATTGAGATTCCACAACATAGGGTCTATTCTACATGCAGACTGCAGTGGGATACATCTATCAGCATCCCTCTGTCTTCCAGGTCAAGAAATAGGATGAAAATCATCAAAATTGACGCTTTTTGTACCTGATGACCAATAGAAACAGTGACCATGTCCATTCACTCTCTTATGCAACCCTATATAAAACCACTGAAAATGAAAAATTACTTTGAGGTGAGGAAAAAAATGTTCAATCAGATCATTACTTATAAATATCTCAGTTCCTTGTTACTTCCCAGAGAAGTTTTTATTGTCATAGGTGATTAATTTGGCAACAAAGTAAAATAAAGTGTTTTCATCCTGTTTTATGATACAAATATTAACCTAAACAAGTTTGTCATTTACTGACTTAGATAGTCCATAATTGTAAACACATTTTTACAATTATGCATAATTTGAGTTCTGTAAGTCGGAACAAAAAAGGCTTGTTTATGTCTGATCTCTGACTGATGAAATAGCATGTCTGCTTTTCACTCCTTTCAAATTCGGGGTATATCTTTCATCAGTTTTCAGATATATGTATTATGAAACTGAAAAAATGAAAATATTTAACTTTTTTTCAGAGTCAGTTGAGAAACAAAATAGTTGAAGAGTTACAGCAATCTTATAAAGGTCACTTATCAGTCAGGGATCTCAAACTGCCAGATGAAGGGTCTTTACTACATAGAGCAGCTAACAGTCTAGTTGCCGATCACCTCAGAAGTTGTCAGTATGATTACTCATTTAGTGTGTTCCTTCCTGAAAGTAGAACAGCTAAGGACAAGGTCAGTATAAATAGATCAATACTACACATCTAACAGTCTAGTCACTGATCACCTCAGAAGTTGTCAGTATGATTACTCATTTAGTGTGTTCCTTCCCCAAAAGTAGAACAGCTAAGGACAAGGTCAGTATAAATAGGTCAATACTACACAGGTAACAGTCTAGTCACTGATCACCTCAGAAGTTGTCAGTATGATTACTCATTTAGTGTGTTCCTTCCCGAAAGTAGAACAGCTAAGGACAAGGTCAGTATAAATAGATAAATACTACACATATAACAGTCCAGTGGCTAATCACCTTAGGAGTTGGCAGTATGATTACTCATTTAGTGTGTTCCTCCTGAAAGTAGAAAAGCTAAGGACAAGGTCAGTATAAATAGATCAATACTACACATCTAACTGTCTAGTGGCTGATCACCTCAGGAGTTGTCAGTATGATTACTCATTTAGTGTGTTCCTTCCTGAAAGTAGAACAGCTAAGGACAAGGTCAGTATAAATAGATCAATACTACACATCTAACAGTCTAGTCACTGATCACCTCAGGAGTTGTCAGTATGATTACTCATTTAGTGTGTTCCTTCCTGAAAGTAGAACAGCTAAGGACAAGGTCAGTATAAATAGGTCAATACTTCACAAGTAACAGTCTAGTCACTGATCACTTCAGGAGTTGTCAGTATGATTATACATTTAGTGTGTTCCTTCCTGAAAGTAGAACAGCTAAGGACAAGGTCAGTATAAATAGGTCAGTACTACACATCTAACTGTCTAGTCACTGATCACCTAAGGAGTTGTCAGTTTGATTACTCATTTAGTGTGTTTCTTCCTGAAAGTAGAACAGCTAAGGACAAGGTCAGTATAAATAGATCAATACTACACATCTAACAGTCTAGTCACTGATCACCTCAGGAGTTGTCAGTATGATTACTCATTTAGTGTGTTCCTTCCTGAAAGTAGAACAGCTAAGGACAAGGTCAGTATAAATAGGTCAATACTTCACAAGTAACAGTCTAGTCACTGATCACTTCAGGAGTTGTCAGTATGATTATACATTTAGTGTATTCCTTCCTGAAAGTAGAACAGCTAAGGACAAGGTCAGTATAAATAGGTCAGTACTACACATCTAACTGTCTAGTGGCTGATCACCTTAGGAGTTGTCAGTATGATTACTCATTTAGTGTGTTCCTTCCTGAAAGTAGAACAGTTAAGGACAAGGTCAGTATAAATAGGTCAATACTACACATCTAACAGTCTAGTGGCTGATCACCTTAGGAGTTGTCAGTATGATTACTCATTTAGTGTGTTCCTTCCTGAAAGTAGAACAGCTAAGGACAAGGTCAGTATAAATAGGTCAGTACTACACATATAACAGTCCAGTGGCTGATCACCTAAGGAGTTGTCAGTATGATTACTCATTTAGTGTGTTCCTTCCTGAAAGTAGAACAGCTAAGGACAAGGTCAGTATAAATAGATCAATACTACACATCTAACAGTCTAGTCACTGATCACCTCAGGAGTTGTCAGTATGATTACTCATTTAGTGTGTTCCTTCCTGAAAGTAGAACAGCTAAGGACAAGGTCAGTATAAATAGGTCAATACTACACAAGTAACAGTCTAGTCACTGATCACTTCAGGAGTTGTCAGTATGATTATACATTTAGTGTGTTCCTTCCTGAAAGCAGAACAGCTAAGGACAAGGTCAGTATAAATAGGTCAGTACTACACATCTAACTGTCTAGTGGCTGATCACTTTAGGAGTTGTCAGTATGATTACTCATTTAGTGTGTTCCTTCCTGAAAGTAGAACATTTAAGGACAAGGTCAGTATAAATAGGTCAATACTACACATCTAACAGTCTAGTGGCTGATCACCTTAGGAGTTGTCAGTATGATTACTCATTAAGTGTGTTCCTTCCTGAAAGTAGAACAGCTAAGGACAAGGTCAGTATAAATAGGTCAGTACTACACATATAACAGTCCAGTGGCTGATCACCTAAGGAGTTGTCAGTATGATTACTCATTTAGTGTGTTCCTTCCTGAAAGTAGAACAGCTAAGGACAAGGTCAGTATAAGTAGGTCAATACTACACATCTAACAGTCTAGTCACTGATCACCTAAGGAGTTGTCAGTTTGATTACTCATTAAGTGTGTTCCTTCCGGAAAGTAGAACAGCTAAGGACAAGGTCAGTATAAATAGGTCAATACTACACATCTAACAGTCTAGTCACTGATCACCTCAGAAGTTGTCAGTTTGATTACTCATTTAGTGTGTTCCTTCCTGAAAGTAGAACAGCTAAGGATAAGGTCAGTATAAATAGGTCAATACTACACATCTAACAGTCTATTCACTGATCACCTAAGGAGTTGTCAGTTTGATTACTCATTTAGTGTGTTTCTTCCTGAAAGTAGAACAGCTAAGGACAAGGTCAGTATAAATAGGTCAATACTACACATCTAACAGTCTAGTCACTGATCACCTAAGGAGTTGTCAGTTTGATAACTCATTTAGTGTGTTTCTTCCTGAAAGTAGAACAGCTAAGGACAAGGTCAGTATAAATAGGCCAATACTACACATCTAACAGTCTAGTGGCTGATCACCTTAGGAGTTGTCAGTATGATTACTCATTAAGTGTGTTCCTTCCTGAAAGTAGAACAGCTAAGGACAAGGTCAGTATAAATAGGTCAGTACTACACATATAACAGTCCAGTGGCTGATCATCTAAGGAGTTGTCAGTATGATTACTCATTTAGTGTGTTCCTTCCTGAAAGTAGAACAGCTAAGGACAAGGTCAGTATAAATAGGTCAATACTACACATCTAACAGTCTAGTCACTGATCACCTAAGGAGTTGTCAGTTTGATAACTCATTTAGTGTGTTCCTTCCTGAAAATAGAACAGCTAAGGACAAGGTCAATATAAATAGGTCAATACTACACATCTAACAGTCTAGTCACTGATCACCTCAGAAGTTGTCAGTTTGATTACTCATTTAGTGTGTTCCTTCCTGAAAGTAGAACAGCTAAGGATAAGGTCAGTATAGATAGGTCAATACTACACATCTAACAGTCTATTCACTGATCACCTAAGGAGTTGTCAGTTTGATTACTCATTTAGTGTGTTTCTTCCTGAAAGTAGAACAGCTAAGGGCAAGGTCAGTATAAATAGGTCAATACTACACAGGTAACAGTCTAGTCACTGATCACTTCAGGAGTTGTCAGTTTGATTACTCATTAGGTGTTTTCCTTCCTGAAAGTAGAACAACTAAGGACAAGGTCAGTATAAGTAGGTCAATACTACAGGTATCAGTATAGTCACTGATCACCTCAGGAGTTGTCAGAATGATTACTCCTTAGGTGTTTTCTTTCCTGAAAGTAGAACAACTAAGGACAAGGTCAGTATAAATAGGTCTATACTACACAGCTAACAGACTAGTTGCTGATCACTTCAGGAGTTGTCAGTATGTATTAAAGGAGATATATGTCAGGAGTTGTCAGTATGTATTGAAGGAGGTATATGTCAGGAGTTGTCAGTATGTATTAAAGGAGATATATGTCAGGAGTTGTCAGTATGTATTAAAGGAGTTATATGTCAGGAGTTGTCAGTATGTATTAAAAGAGATATATGTCAGGAGTTGTCAGTATGTATTGAAGGAGGTATATGCCAGGAGTTGTCAGTATGTTTTAAAGGAGGTATATGTCAGGAGTTGTCAGTATGTATTAAAGGAGATATAGGTCAGGAGTTGTCAGTATGTATTAAAAGAGGTATATGTCAGGAGTTGTCAGTATGTTTTAAAGGAGATATATGTCAGGAGTTGTCAGTATGTATTGAAGGAGGTATATGTCAGGTGTTGTCAGTATGTATTGAAGGAGGTATATGTCAGGAGTTGTCAGTATGTATTGAAGGAGATATATGTCAGGAGTTGTAAGTATGGATTAAAGGAGATATATGTCAGGAGTTGTCAGTATGTATTAAAGGAGGTATATGTCAGGAGTTGTCAGTATGTACTAAAGGAGGTATATGTCAGTGTTTTGGCAAGATTTTGCATATGTTGGATGATAATTAAGCATTCAAAAAAAAGTAAAATCACAAAAATACTGAACTCCGAGGAAAATTCAAAAAGGAAAGTCCCCAATCAAATGGCAAAATCAAAAGCTCAAACACATCAAACGAATGGATAACAACTGTCATATTCCTGACTTAGTACAGGCATTTCCTTAAGTAGAAAATGGTGGATTGAACCTGGTTTTAAAGCTAGCTTAACCTATTAGCATGATTAATGAGTAACAATCCTGTAACCCAATGTAATTTTTTTTCTTCACTCAAAACTGATCTCCTGGTAGCATGTTCGTATCGAGTGCGGGAGGTTGTGGGTTCAAACCCTGGCCTGGTCAAACCAAAGACTTGAAAATTTGTATTTGCTGCTTCTCCGCTAAGCACGCAGCATTAAGGAGTTAGAGCAAAGACTGTTAGGCTCGGAGTCAGAATAATGTGTCCTGGTAAGGTGATATGTCTTCCTGCAGACTGTTACCTTGTTAACTAACACGTTAAAAATCCGGCTCAGCGTGTCGGTCTAGTACAAAGCAGGGTTGATTTTCATATTACAGTAACATGTTCTCATCCTGTATATGCATATTAATTTGCCGCTAGACGTAAATCAGGCATCCATCATCCATCATCTTCATCAAAACAATTATATTGATGCAATAAATTAGATAATCTAGATAAGGGAGAAATATCTCTTTACTTCCAAAAATTGTAAATACGTTGACTGACATGAAGGAATCTGTTATCTTTCTTTTCGTGGACATTGCAGTGTTATTTACATTTGTGATATTCTTTGAATATGACCCCCAACAGCTGAAGCACTGTCATATAGTAATAAACCCTGAGAAAATAAAACCCAGATTTATAAACACACACAATCACTCACAGAAATTAACTGTTGTTTGCTTGACAAATTGCAAGTTTTATTGTAATGCAAAGTCCTGTCAGTGAGACTATATATAATCAATATAATATTTATCTTTAGATATTTCCCACAGAAGATATTCTCCAATTACTTGGTATAAGTCCTTCATCAAGGCTTTACAAAAAAATGGTAAGTTGAATTAAGTTTAGGTAAACAAAATTTCTGTAGAATTTTCCAATTAAAACATAAAGATCTGATTATCACAATGAATCCTACCATGTCTGCCAGATTGTCATATAGACATGTTTGTCTGGTAAAACATTTGTCTGGTCAGGAAAAAAAAAAGAGTTTGGGAGACTGATGTTCTAATTTACAGTAATAATAAAAGGGAATCACATTTATCTGTACATATAATTGGTGTTATACACTTGCATTACAGCAAAATAGTATTAAAAGTATGAAAACCTTCTTAACATCAGAACAGTCACTGCATACAATACATTAAGTGCTTATAGCATTCAAACATGTTAACATCAGAACAATCACTGCATACAATACATTAAGTGCTTATAGCATTCGAACATGTTAACACCAAAACAATCAGTGCATACAATACATTAAGTGCTTATAGCATTTGAACATGTTAACATCAGAACAATCACTGCATACAATACATTAAGTGCTTATAGCTTTTGAACATGTTAACATCAGAACAATCACTGCATACAATACATTAAGTGCTTATAGCATTCGAACATGTTAACACCAGAACAATCACTGCATACAATACATTAAGTGCTTATAGCATTCGTACATGTTAACACCAGAACAATCACTGCATACAATACATTAAGTGCTTATAGCATTCGAACATGTTAACACCAGAACAATCACTGCATACAATACATTAAGTGCTTATAGGATTCGAACATGTTAACACCAAAACAATCACTGCATACAATACATTAAGTGCTTATAGCATTCGAACATGTTAACACCAGAACAATCACTGCATACAATACATTAAGTGCACATAGGATTCGAACATGTTAACACCAAAACAATCACTACATACAATACATCAAGTGCTTATAGCATTAAAACATTACAAAACATGTTAATATCAGAACAATCAATGCATATAATACATAAAGCACAGGAAATGTTTATATTACAAGTTATTGATGTTCTATCTAATTTCAGGTGTCTGGTAAAAAAGATCATGCAACAAAAGGTAAAACAAATTACAGCAATGTCAAATGTATTGAAACAAAATTTAACAAGTTATAAAGCCATACCATATTTTAGATCAAAGAGGTACTGGCATAGCCAAGAATAACCTTTTAATGATGTTACTATGCTAAGGGCCCAGACATAACACTACTTCCGAATCATAAGCAGAAGTGACTTATATTTTTGAAACTGATAGGGAGAAGTGCCGAGACTTGAAAGAGAAGTGCTTGTTTGCTCCCGGCACTACAATGTTTGGTTTGAACAATAATACAAAGAGCCATATGTGTCCCATTTATTTAATAATTTTTTATATTGTTCAATTCATTCCTGAGAATGCAATTTAAGTAACAGTTGTCTCAGTTTATGCCTTAAGTAACCATGTATAGTTACACAATTATATGTTTTCCTCTTGTCAGAAAATGTTTGTTATTTTAGGATTTTTGTGGCAGATATTGTGTGAGTTATCTGCCCTTCATTCCAATGCTTCGAATGAGACAGGTGTGCAAACAGATTTAATCAGAGTTGCAGCAGTATCGTCTTTAGGTAAGTATAAGTTATCTCCCCTTTATTCTACTGCTATTTAATGAGATACTTGTTCAAATAAACCAAATAATTCAGTCGTTTCATTATGCTTACTACGATCACTTTATTAACATCTGAACAGTAAAATTGAGAATGGAAATGGGGAATATGTCAAAGAGACAACAACCCGACCATAGAGCAGACAACAGCCGAAGGCCACCAATGGGTCTTCAATGCAGCGAGAACCTCCCGCACCCGGAGGCGGATATACTTAATTTATGTTAACATACAATACAAAAAAAAAACTTGATAATATAACCTTGTCCCCTCACACTGGAATGTCTTGATTTACTTCATATATATATATATGTTAATTGCAATAAAAATGAGATGTTCGAAGTTTTCAATCTTATCTTGATATATGAAATGATATTTTTCTTAGACGAAAGGCTAAATGGTGTAGATGATTTTTACTCCTCTAAGAAAGATGAACACTTTAGAACAAGTTCAGCTGCTGTAGAAGACAGACTGATGTCATTTCAGAGACAGTTAGAGGAAAGATACAGAACAGATCTAAAATTAGAGGTACATATATTTTATCATTGATATGCATTGAACCAGAAATAGTGTGATCCCTCTCCTAAAGGAACTTAACTCATTTCTCTTGTTAGAACTATTGGAAAAGATGTCAAACAAAGCAATTGAGTAAATATAAGAATAATTGGTTTCACTGTGTGCAATCATTCAGAATTAAGAATAATTCAGTAACTTTCTATATTAAGCAACAATATTTTAAAAGACACATTTATAGCTCTGAGACAAATCCCAAAAGTGTCTCTCATCTGTATTGAGGGAAAGAAAGAATTAGTTTTGAATGTTCTTTGCCTACTCATAGTCAAATAAGTGTAATCTGGTTAATGATTTCATTGATTTGTACTGAGAAAAAGTTAGTAAAGGGATGTTACATGCCTGCTTTGAGGGAAAATAAGAGTTATGATGTTACAGAAAATGTCACTCACCTGCATTGAACCAAACAAATACAATGTCACATTATTTTTTTCACTCATGTAATGAATAATAATAAAAATTATGTGACCCATCTGCCTGGAGTAAAAATTAAGAGAAATGTATATCTGTTGCCTACACTAAGCCAAGTCTCAAGTGACTTTGACTATTAAGAGTAATGGATATCTGTTGCCTACACTAAGCCAAGTCACTTTGACTATTAAGAGTAATGGATATCTGTTGCCTACACTAAGCCAAGTCACAAGTCACTTTGACTGTTAAGAGTAATGGAGATCTGTTGCCTACACAAGCCAAGTCGCAAGTCACTTTGACTATTAAGAGTAATGGATATTTGTTGCCTACACTAAGCCAAGTCACTTTGACTATTAAGAGTAATGGATATTTGTTGCCTACGCTAAGCCAAGTCACAAGTCACTTTGATTGTTAAGAGTAATGGAGATCTGTTGCCTACACTAAGCCAAGTCACAAGTCACTTTGACTATTAAGAGTAATGGATATATGTTGCCTACACTAAACCAAGTCACAAGCCACTTTGACTATTAAGAGTAATGGATATCTGTTGCCTACACTAAGCCAAGTCACTTTGACTATTAAGAGTAATGGATATTTGTTGCCTACACTAAGCCAAGTCACAAGTCACTTTGACTATTAAGAGTAATGGATATCTGTTGCCTACACTAAGCCAAGTCACTTTGACTATTAAGAGTAATGGATATTTGTTGCCTACACTAAGCCAAGTCACAAGTCACTTTGACTGTTAAGAGTAATGGAGATCTGTTGCCTACACTAAGCCAAGTCACAAGTCACTTTGACTATTAAGAGTAATGGATATCTGTTGCCTACACTAAGCCAAGTCACAAGCCACTTTGACAATTAAGAGTAATGGATATCTGTTGCCTACACTAAGCCAAGTCACTTTGACTATTAAGAGTAATGGGTATTTGTTGCCTACACTAAGCCAAGTCACAAGTCACTTTGACTGTTAAGAGTAATGGATATCTGTTGCCTACACTAAGCCAAGTCACTTTGACTATTAAGAGTAATGGATATTTGTTGCCTACACTAAGCCAAGTCACAAGTCACTTTGACTGTTAAGAGTAATGGAGATCTGTTGCCTACACTAAGCCAAGTCACAAGTCACTTTGACTATTAAGAGTAATGGATATCTGTTGCCTACACTAAGCCAAGTCACAAGCCACTTTGACAATTAAGAGTAATGGATATCTGTTGCCTACACTAAGCCAAGTCACTTTGACTATTAAGAGTAATGGGTATTTGTTGCCTACACTAAGCCAAGTCACAAGTCACTTTGACTGTTAAGAGTAATGGATATCTGTTGCCTACACTAAGCCAAGTCACTTTGACTATTAAGAGTAATGGATATTTGTTGCCTACACTAAGCCAAGTCACAAGTCACTTTGACTATTAAGAGTAATGGATATCTGTTGCCTACACTAAGCCAAGTCACTTTGACTATTAAGAGTAATGGATATCTGTTGCCTACACTAAGCCAAGTCACTTTGACTATTAAGAGTAATGGAGATCTGTTGCCTACACTAAGCCAAGTCACTTTGACTATTAAGAGTAATGGATATCTGTTGCCTACACTAAGCCAAGTCACTTTGACTGTTAAGAGTAATGGATATCTGTTGCCTACACAAAGCCAAGTCACAAGTCACTTTGACAATTAAGAGTAATGGATATCTGTTGCCTACACTAAGCCAAGTCACTTTGACTATTAAGAGTAATGGATATCTGTTGCCTACACTAAGCCAAGCCACTTTGACTATTAAGAGTAACGGAGATCTGTTGCCTACACTAAGCCAAGTCACTTTGACTATTAAGAGTAATGGATATCTGTTGCCTACACTAAGCCAAGTCGCTTTGACTATTAAGAGTAATGGAGATCTGTTGCCTACACTAAGCCAAGTCACTTTGACTATTAAGAGTAATGGATATCTGTTGCCTACACTAAGCCAAGTCACTTTGACTATTAAGAGTAATGGATATCTGTTGCCTACACTAAGCCAAGTCACTTTGACTATTAAGAGTAATGGAGATCTGTTGCCTACACTAAGCCAAGTCACAAGTCACTTTGACTATTAAGAGTAATGGATATATGTTGCCTACACTGAGCCAAGTCACTTTGAATATTAAGAGTAATGGATATCTGTTGCCTACACTAAGCCAAGTCACTTTGACTGTTAAGAGTAATGGATATCTGTTGCCTACACTAAGCCAAGTCACTTTAACTATTAAGAGTAATGGATATCTCTTTCTTACAATTTGCCTTGTCTTTAGTCATTTTGACTGGGTGTTTCTATAAGAGAAAAGTTTGTTCTTACCTACTTTCAACAAAAATAATAGTAATGGATGTCTGTTGCCTACTCTAAGCTGCCAAGTCACAGGTCACTTTGACTGTGTTTCTATTAGAGAGAAGGTTTCACTTACCTACTTAAACAAAAATTAAGAGTAAATGATACCTTGATTACAATAAGCCAAGTCATAAGTCACTATGACTGTGCTTCTATTAAAGACTGGTTTTCATTTATCTGCCATGAGAAAATTTGAGAAATGGTGTCAATCACCTGTAATTAGGGTAAAAGTAGTCTGTTAAATTTATTTATGACTCCTGTAACCATTTTGTTAGATTTTAGACTATTTTCTATTAATTCAGCTGGCAAGAATGAAAGATAATGAGATAGCTAGGATTAAGATGGAAGAGAAAGAAACTTCAAGGAGAGAGCTAGAACAGCTCAGAAGAGAAGTATGTATTAAGGTTAATAAAGACAAAGAAGTTAGTATTCTATAAACACCTTATTGTAGTGGACCAGGTGATTACTGTCCTGGACCATCGTATTCCCATTTATCCAACACAAGAGAAGTTAGTATTCTATAAACACCTTATTGTAGTGGAGCAGGTGATTACTGTCCTGGACCATCGTATTCCCATTTATCCAAGACAAGAGAAGTGAGTATTCTATAAACACCTTATTGTAGTGGACCAGGTGATTACTGTCCTGGACCATCGTATTCCCATTTATCCAAGACAAGAGAAGTTAGTATTCTATAAACACCTTATTGTAGTGGACCAGGTGATTACTGTCCTGGACCATCGTATTCCCATTTATCCAAGACAAGAGAAGTTAGTATTCTATAAACACCTTATTGTAGTGGACCAGGTGATTACTGTCCTGGACCATCGTATTCCCATTTATCCAACACAAGAGAAGTTAGTATTCTATAAACACCTTATTGTAGTGGACCAGGTGATTTCTGTCCTGGACCATCGTATTCCCATTTATCCAAGACAAGAGAAGTTAGTATTCTATAAACACCTTATTGTAGTGGAGCAGGTGATTACTGTCCTGGACCATCGTATTCCCATTTATCCAACACAAGAGAAGTTAGTATTCTATAAACACCTTATTGTAGTGGACCAGGTGAGTACTGTCCTGGACCATCGTATTCCCATTTATCCAACACAAGAGAAGTTAGTATTCTATAAACACCTTATTGTAGTGGACCAGGTGATTACTGTCCTGGACCATCGTATTCCCATTTATCCAACACAAGAGAAGTTAGTATTCTATAAACACCTTATTGAAGTGGACCAGGTGATTACTGTCCTGGACCATCGTATTCCCATTTATCCAACACAAGAGAAGTTAGTATTCTATAAACACCTTATTGAAGTGGACCAGGTGATTACTGTCCTGGACCATCGTATTCCAATTTATCCACTATTACTGGATATCACAGATATGAATAGCTGTCAATAAATGTAATTTGAGCAAGAGTTATTTCCCTTTTGACTCATGTTTGAGGATGAGGTGCACATATTCCTTCATGAATCAGCCAAATAGAACTGGTTATACTGACTGCTAGACTTCAGAAAAGATATTTTCTGAACAAATTTAATTTATTTAAGTTGTGCTGAACCTATCACTACGATCTAGTACGAATCTCTGACTTGTTGGTTCCACATGATCAACCAGTTACATCTACAACATTGGGACAAAGGGAAATAATTCAAACTTAAATTACATCAAATGGAAACCTACATGTTTCTGAAAATTTTTGACAGATTGTACTGTAATTCAGAAATTTTTGTGATGTTTTTAATATTTACAATATTGAGATGTAATAGGTTTCGAAAAATATAAAAACTCATATTTTAGATTTTGATAGCATTATTTATATGCAGCATTTCCTGGAATCACAATAATTAATCTCACAATTTTTGTCCATTGCTCAACATCACAATAATAAATGCACACAAAAATTTCTGGTTTTACAAACTTCTTAATTACATACTTAAAAGGTCAAACTAAGAAATTTGTACTTAGTATATATGCCAGTGAGAATACTAAGAACCTAAAACAATTTCAATCTGATACTGCAAGAATTGATACCTACCTCACAATTTTTAAGGATATTTTTTTTTCATTTTAGTTGGAGAGACAGTACCAAACTAAGACAGATGCACTGCTTCTGAAGGAAAGAAATACAATGGAAAGAATTCAAGCTGAACAAACGGTAGATAATTGTTTATTAAATAGTCGATGATAAATTATGATAGTATCTTATCAATATCTTATGATTATGGAAGAAATTATATAAATTTCCCATATTTTTTTAAATAAACACAAATGGAGACAATTCAATCTCAATTATTCAAATTATGATTTTCATTTTAAAACTGTTGATAATGTTTCATTTAAATAACAAATTCTGCTAGAATAAGATCTACAAAAGTCGGAGACTTTCTAACCAAGTCACTGATAAACTCCTTTCAATACTTAAAAAGGGAGCTTCCAACAACTGCCAACAACTGCTAGGAATGACACTTTTGTAAAGAAATTAATGTAATAATTTACATGTATGGAAATGCTGCTTTTTGTGATCAAGTCAAATTTGACAGGTTCACAGCATCATCGGTACTTTAATTTTGATTTTCCTGACAAAAGGTAGGCAATTTTGCATCTAAACACAACATAATCAAGTAAGACTTGTAGGATTGGAAGACATGCAGTTTTCCAATATACCTGACATATGTCTTTGTAGGATTGGAAGACATACAGATTTCCATTATATCTGACATATGTCTTTGTAGGATTGGAAGACATACAGTTTTCCAATATATCTGACATATGTCTTGTAGGATTGGAAGACATACAGTTTTCCATTATATCTGACTTATGTCTTTGTAGGATTGGAAGACATACAGTTTTCCATTATATCTGACATATGTCTTTGTAGGATTGGAAGACATACAGTTTTCCAATATACCTGACATATGTCTTTGTAGGATTGGAAGACATACAGTTTTCCATTATATCTGACATATGTCTTTGTAGGATTGGAAGACATACAGTTTTCCAATATACCTGACATATGTCTTTGTAGGATTGGAAGACATACAGTTTTCCATTATATCTGACATATGTCTTTGTAGGATTGGAAGACATACAGTTTACCAAAACTAATTGTATCAGTGGTATTTATTGTTAATATTTTTCAATATATACTTTTAAAAAACCATCACTGACTGAAAAGCAGTGCAACATTATTAGTATTAGTTACAACGAAATTTTAAATGATTTTATACTTTCTACAGATGCATGACAGAGAGATATATGCACAGAGACAGTCTTTACTGGACGAAATAGAAATCCTACGTAAAAGAGAAGCTGAAATCAAACGAGAAGATGAGATCAATCACAGGTTTGTTACATTCTCATTAGAAATAACAAGTCATACAAAGTTTTGTTAAATTCTGATTATAAATTAAAGGTCAGAAACAGAAATCAACCACATGTTTGTTATATTGTTATCAGGAATATAAGAGATTTATCCTGCAATTGAGGAATGAAAAATGAGGCACAAACATAAAATACAGTTTTTTACTGTCAAAAAATATTTGATAAAAATAACATATTAGTTGTGATGCTAAGATTTTAAAAATAAAAAGTTCATACTACTTTTTAGTTGTCAAATTTTTTTCATGGAAACATATTTCAAATTTATCAACATTATGCTATCATTTTTATAATCATGAATAATAAATATAACGAAAACCTTTACCGCTTACAGTTAATTCTATAAATAGATATAAGGAAAACCTTTACCACTTACAGTTAATTCTATAAATAGATATAAGGAAAACCTTTACCACTTACAGTTAATTCTATAAATAGATATAAGGAAAACCTTTACCACTTACAGTTAATTCTATAAATAGATATAAGGAAAACCTTTACCACTTACAGTTAATTCTATAAATAGATAAAAGGAAAACCTTTACCACTTACAGTTAATTCTATAAATAAATATATGGAAAACCTTTACAATTTACAGTTAATTCTATAAATAGATATAAAGAAAACCTTTACCGCTTACAGTTAATTGTACAAGAAGATTTACAGAATACCTTTAGAAAAAATGTTACCATTTAAAATAAAAGGTACTTAGATTTAAGGAAAACAGACAGTAAGGGTAGTATTTCATCCTGCACAACAAAGGAAAACAGACAGTTAGGGGTGTTATTAAACCTGCACAACAGCTTTAATCCTATAAGTTAGACTGTCTATGCTTAGAGAAAGCTGGCATCATACAGCTGATTTCTTACAAGAAAGTGTCTAAGATGTTCATGCCTTGCTATTTATACTGTGTTTGAATCATTTTAATTTCATTTTATCATTTTAACAGAGAGGCCAAATTAAATGAAGATAGAGTGAAAACCAAAGAAGAAGGAGTTCGTCATCGAGAACAGGAAGTTAGAAAGATGGAGGTTGAACATGAACAGAGGCTGAAAAATGAAATGACAAAGTAGGTATACAATATGATGGAGGTTGAACATGAACAGAGGCTGAAAATTGAAATGACAAAGTAGGTTTACAATATGATGGAGGTTGAACATCAACAGAGGCTGAAAATTGAGTTTACAAAATAAAAAAATGTGTTCATGTTTTCATTTAGAAGAAAGTGAGTATTTTGTATAAAGTCCACAATGCTATGTTATAAAAGGAGTTAAATAGTAGGTTAGGTCCGGTGTTAGGGGTTCCATATCACACAAGGTCCACAGCAATGTTATATTGGTAAAAGGAGTTGTTTAGTAGGTTAGATTGGGTGTTAGAGGTCCCCTAGAGAGTGACTTTTCTGTATTAGGTCCATAGCTATGTTATATTGGTAAAAGGAGTTGTTTAGTAGGTTAGATTGGGTGTTAGGGGTCCCCTAGAGAGTGAGTTTTCTGTATTTGGTCCACAATGCTATGTTATATTGGTAAAAGGAGTTGTTTGGTAGGTTAGGTTGGGTGTTAGGGGTCCCCTAGAGAGTGACTTTTCTGTATTAGGTCCACAATGCTATGTTATATTGGTAAAAGGAGTTGTTTAGTAGGTTAGATTGGGTGTTAGGGGTCCCCTAGAGAGTGACGTTTCTGTATTAGGTCCACAATGCTATGTTATATTGGTAAAAGGAGTTGTTTGGTAGGTTAGATTGGGTGTTAGGGGTCCCCTAGAGAGTGAGTTTTCTGTATTTGGTCCACAATGCTATGTTATATTGGTAAAAGGAGTTGTTTGGTAGGTTAGGTTGGGTGTTAGGGGTCCTCTAGAGAGTGAGTTTTCTGTATTAGGTCCACATTGCTATGTTATATTGGTAAAAGGAGTTGTTTGGTAGGTTAGGTTGGGTGTTAGGGGTCCTCTAGAGAGTGAATTTTCTGTATTAGGTCCACAATGCTATGTTTTATTAGTAAAAGGAGTTGATTGGTAGGTTAGATTGGGTGTTAGGGGTCCCCTAGAGAGTGACTTTTCTGTATTAGGTCCACAATGCTATGTTTTATTGGTAAAAGGAGTTGTTTGGTAGGTTAGGTTGGGTGTTAGGGGTCCCCTAGAGAGTGACTTTTCTGTATTAGGTCCACAATGCTATGTTATATTGGTAAAAGGAGTTGTTTGGTAGGTTAGGTTGGGTGTTAGGGGTCCTCTAGAGAGTGACTTTTCTGTATTAGGTCCACAATGCTATGTTATATTGGTAAAAGGAGTTGTTTGGTAGGTTAGGTTGGGTGTTAGGGGTCCCCTAGACAGTGACTTTTCTGTATTAGGTCCACAATGCTATCTTATATTGGTAAAAGGAGTTGTTTGGTAGATTAGGTTGGGTGTTAGGGGTCCCCTAGACAGTGACTATTCTGTATTAGGTCCACAATGCTATGTTATATTGGTAAAAGGAGTTGTTTGGTAGGTTAGGTTGGGTGTTAGGGGTCCCCTAGGGAGTGACTTTTCTGTATTAGGTCCACAATGCTATGTTATATTGGTAAAAGGAGTTGTTTGGTAGGTTAGGTTGGATGTTAGGGGTCCCCTAGGGAGTGACTTTTCTGTATTAGGTCCACAATGCTATGTTATTTGGTAAAATGAGTTGTTTTGTAGGTTAGGTTGGGTGTTAGGGGTCCCCTAGGGAGTGACTTTTCTGTATTAGGTCCGCAATGCTATGTTATATTGGTAAAAGGAGTTGTTTGGTAGGTTAGATTGGATGTTAGGGGTCCCCTAGAGAGTGACTTTTCTGTATTAGGTCCACAATGCTATGTTATATTGGTAAAAGGAGTTGTTTGATAGGTTAGGTTGGATGTTAGGGGTCCCTTAGGGAGTGACTTTTCTGTATTAGGTCCACAATGCTTTGTTATATTGGTAAAAGGAGTTGTTTGGTAGGTTAGGTTGGGTGTTAGGGGTCCCCTAGAGAGTGAGTTTTCTGTATTTGGTCCACAATGCTATGTTATATTGGTAAAAGGAGTTGTTTGGTAGGTTAGGTTGGGTGTTAGGGGTCCCCTAGAGAGTGACTTTTCTGTATTAGGTCCACAATGCTATGTTTTATTGGTAAAAGGAGTTGTTTAGTAGGTTAGATTGGGTGTTAGGGGTCCCCTAGAGAGTGACTTTTCTGTATTAGGTCCACAATGCTTTGTTATATTGGTAAAAGGAGTTGTTTGGTAGGTTAGATTGGGTGTTAGGGGTCCCCTAGAGAGTGAGTTTTCTGTATTTGGTCCACAATGCTATGTTATATTGGTAAAAGGAGTTGTTTGGTAGGTTAGGTTGGGTGTTAGGGGTCCTCTAGAGAGTGACTTTTCTGTATTAGGTCCACAATGCTATGTTATATTGGTAAAAGGAGTTGTTTGGTAGGTTAGGTTGGGTGTTAGGGGTTCTCTAGAGAGTGACTTTTCTGTATTAGGTCCACAATGCTATGTTTTATTGGTAAAAGGAGTTGTTTTGTAGGTTAGGTTGGGTGTTAAGGGTCCCCTAGAGAGTGACTTTTCTGTATTAGGTCCACAATGCTATGTTATATTGGTAAAAGGAGTTGTTTGGTAGGTTAGGTTGGGTGTTAGGGGTCCCCTAGGGAGTGACTTTTCTGTATTAGGTCCACAATGCTATGTTATATTGGTAAAATGAGTTGTTTGGTAGGTTAGGTTGGATGTTAGGGGTCCCCTAGAGAGTGACTTTTCTGTATTAGGTCCACAATGCTATGTTATATTGGTAAAAGGAGTTGTTTGGTAGGTTAGATTGGGTGTTAGAGGTCCCCTAGGGAGTGACTTTTCTGTATTAGGTCCACAATGCTATGTTATATTGGTAAAAGGAGTTGTTTTGTAGGTTAGATTGGGTGTTAGAGGTCCCCTAGAGAGTGACTTTTCTGTATTAGGTCCACTTAGCTATGTTTTATTGGTTAAAGGAGTTGTTTGGTAGGTTAGGTTGGGTGTTAGGGGTCCCCTAGAGAGTGACTTTTCTGTATTAGGTCCACAATGCTATGTTTTATTGGTAAAAGGAGTTGTTTGGTAGGTTAGGTTGGGTGTTAGGGGTCCCCAAGAGAGTGACTTTGCTGTATTTGCTCCACCATGCTATGTTATATTGGTAAAAGGAGTTGTTTGGTAGGTTAGGTTGGGTGTTAGGGGTCCCCTAGAGAGTGACTTTTCTGTATTTGGTCCACAATGCTATGTTATATTGGTAAAAGGAGTTGTTTGGTAGGTTATATTGGGTGTTAGGGGTCCCCTAGGGAGTGACTTTTCTGTATTAGGTCCACAATGCTATGTTATATTGGTAAAAGGAGTTGTTTGGTAGGTTAGGTTGGATGTTAGGGGTCCCCTAGGGAGTGACTTTTCTGTATTAGGTCCACAATGCTATGTTATATTGGTAAAATGAGTTGTTTGGTAGGTTAGGTTGGGTGTTAGGGGTCCCCTAGGGAGTGACTTTTCTGTATTAGGTCCACAATGCTATGTTATATTGGTAAAAGGAGTTGTTTGGTAGGTTAGATTGGATGTTAGGGGTCCCCTAGAGAGTGACTTTTCTGTATTAGGTCCACAATGCTATGTTATATTGGTAAAAGGAGTTGTTTGATAGGTTAGGTTGGATGTTAGGGGTCCCTTAGGGAGTGACTTTTCTGTATTAGGTCCACAATGCTTTGTTATATTGGTAAAAGGAGTTGTTTGGTAGGTTAGGTTGGGTGTTAGGGGTCCCCTAGAGAGTGAGTTTTCTGTATTTGGTCCACAATGCTATGTTATATTGGTAAAAGGAGTTGTTTGGTAGGTTAGGTTGGGTGTTAGGGGTCCCCTAGAGAGTGACTTTTCTGTATTAGGTCCACAATGCTATGTTTTATTGGTAAAAGGAGTTGTTTAGTAGGTTAGATTGGGTGTTAGGGGTCCCCTAGAGAGTGACTTTTCTGTATTAGGTCCACAATGCTTTGTTATATTGGTAAAAGGAGTTGTTTGGTAGGTTAGATTGGGTGTTAGGGGTCCCCTAGAGAGTGAGTTTTCTGTATTTGGTCCACAATGCTATGTTATATTGGTAAAAGGAGTTGTTTGGTAGGTTAGGTTGGGTGTTAGGGGTCCTCTAGAGAGTGACTTTTCTGTATTAGGTCCACAATGCTATGTTTTATTGGTAAAAGGAGTTGTTTTGTAGGTTAGGTTGGGTGTTAGAGGTCCCCTAGAGAGTGACTTTTCTGTATTTGGTCCACAATGCTATGTTTTATTGGTAAAAGGAGTTGTTTGGTAGGTTAGGTTGGGTGTTAGCGGTCCCCTAGAGAGTGACTTTTCTGTATTAGGTCCACAATGCTATGTTATATTGGTAAAAGGAGTTGTTTAGTAGGTTAGATTGGGTGTTAGGGGTCCCCTAGAGAGTGACTTTTCTGTATTTGGTCCACAATGCTATGTTATATTGGTAAAAGGAGTTGTTTAGTAGGTTAGGTTGGTTGTTAGGGGTCCCCTAGAGAGTGACTTTTCTGTATTTGGTCCACAATGCTATGTTATATTGGTAAAAGGAGTTGTTTAGTAGGTTAGATTGGGTGTTAGGGGTCCCCTAGAGAGTGACTTTTCTGTATTTGGTCCACCATGCTATGTTATATTGGTAAAAGGAGTTGTTTAGTAGGTTAGGTTGGGTGTTAGGGGTCCCCTAGAGAGTGACTTTTCTGTATTTTGTCCACAATGCTATGTTATATTGGTAAAAGGAGTTGTTTAGTAGGTTAGATTGGGTGTTAGGGGTCCCCAAGAGAGTGAGTTTTCTGTATTTGGTCCACAATGCTATGTTATATTGGTAAAAGGAGTTGTTTAGTAGGTTAGGTTGGGTGTTAGGGGTCCCCTAGAGAGTGACTTTTCTGTATTTGGTCCACAATGCTATGTTATATTGGTAAAAGGAGTTGTTTAGTAGGTTAGGTTGGGTGTTAGGGGTCCCCTAGAGAGTGACTTTTCTGTATTTGGTCCACAATGCTATGTTATATTGGTAAAAGGAGTTGTTTAGTAGGTTAGGTTGGGTGTTAGGGGTCCCCTAGAGAGTGACTTTTCTGTATTAGGTCCACAATGCTATGTTATATTGGTAAAAGGAGTTATTTAGTAGGTTAGATTGGGTGTTAGGGGTCCCCTAGGGAGTGACTTTTCTGTATTTGGTACACAATGCTATGTTATATTGGTAAAAGGAGTTGTTTGATAGGTTAGGTCAGGTGTTAGGGTCCCCTAGAGAGTGAGTTTTCTGTATTAGGTCCACAATGCTATGTTATATTGGTAAAAGGAGTTGTTTGGTAGGTTAGGTTGGATGTTAGGGGTCCCCCAGAGAGTGACTTTTCTGTATTAGGTCAACAATGCTATGTTATATTGGTAAAAGGAGTTGTTTGGTAGGTTAGGTTGGGTGTTAGGGGTGCTCTAGGGAGTGACTTTTCTGTATTAGGTCCACAGCTATGTTATATTGGTAAAAGGAGTTGTTTGGTAGGTTAGGTTGGATGTTAGGGGTCCCCTAGAGAGTGAGTTTTCTGTATTAGGTCCACAATGCTATGTTATATTGATAAAAGGAGTTGTTTGGTAGGTTAGATTGGATGTTAGGGGTCCCCTAGAGAGTGACTTTTCTGTATTAGGTCAACAATGCTATGTTTTATTGGTAAAAGGAGTTGTTTGGTAGGTTAGATTAATGTTAGGGGTCCCCTAGAGAGTGACTTTTCTGTATTTGGTCCACAATGCTTTTTTTTATTGGTAATATGAGTTGTCTGGTGGGTTTGGTTGGGTGTTAGGGGTCCTCTAGAAAGTGAGTATTTTGTATTAGGTCCACAATGCTATGTTATAAAAGGATTTATTTTCGTAGGTTAGGTTAGGGATGGTACGCTACATAAGGATCTGGTGGAGCCATCATCAAGAAAACAAAATTATTTGATTTATACAAATGTCTCATTTATCATAAATTTTGGTATGAAAACTGCCAAAGATTGATAATCCTTATACCATTGTCTAAAAATGGACATCAGGTAAATAAAGACAAATCTGGATTGTGTACAGAAAATTTCTGCAGGTATTGTTTGAAATGTCATTATTGTTTGAAATGTCTATCAAGTATTGTTTCATGTGCTCTTTATAAAGTTTTACCATAATCTGATTCATAAAAGTAAAGGAATGACTTCTATGTCATTTGGTTTCTAGTGGAGAGTTGTCTCCACATCTTCTTATTTTTATATAAATCTACAATGGTTTCAGGGTTTACTATAGAGAAGATGATATACTATTCTTTTCAGTTATAGATTAGCAGAAGAGGAGCACAATGGTTTCAGGGTTTACTATAGAGAAGATGATATACTATTCTTTACAGTTATAGATTAGCAGAAGAGGAGCACAATGGTTTCAGGGTTTACTATAGAGAAGATGATATACTATTCTTTACAGTTATAGATTAGCAGAAGAGGAGCACAATGGTTTCAGGGTTTACTATAGAGAAGATGATATACTATTCTTTACAGTTATAGATTAACAGAAGAGGAGCACAATGGTTTCAGGGTTTACTATAGAGAAGATGATATACTATTCTTTACAGTTATAGATTAACAGAAGAGGAGCACAATGGTTTCAGGGTTTACTATAGAGAAGATGATATACTATTCTTTACAGTTATAGATTAGCAGAAGAGGAGCACAATGGTTTCAGGGTTTACTATAGAGAAGATGATATACTATTCTTTACAGTTATAGATTAGCAGAGGAAATATTTGTTTATTCATTGATTTAATTATGAAATAGCTTTGTTCATTGATAAGCTGGCTATTCATCTTTCTTTCTATTTATAGATAAGCTCGCTATTAATCTTTGTTTCTAATTATAGATTTAAGGTAGAAGAACAAGCTAAATACATGGAAAGAGCCCAGAATATAGAAATACGTGAGGCCAGAGTCAAAGGTAAAAAACATATTAAGATATCATTAACAGTTAACACTGTGATTGGTTGATACAAGCAAATACGTCAAGTATCCCAAACATTGACTATTTTGACTTACAGGGGATTAGAGAATATGGAAATGCTGATGTCCTTCCAACATTGTTTGTGATCTCACACCTACATTTTGGCTGATATTTCAATCAAATTCATGACAGTGGTCAGTGGGTTGCTTCAGCAAAATCTCTGACAAATTGGAAAAGCGGATATGATCCTTTCCTGCTGGAGTAGATCTGAGTAGTCATTGGAATGTAGACAGAGTTATTGTTGGTTGTGTTTTAATTGAAAAAAACATGTTTAATTTATAAAAAAAATAAAATGCTCATTAAACCTTGCAAATCAAGACTTGAAAAATTCAAGTGTCAATGGAGAAATGTCTCTTATTTTAAAACCTGCATACATCCACCCATACTTATATTCATTAACTTTTCTTTTATTTGTAGATGAGGAAAGAAGGGTAAGGGATGAAAAGGACAAAATACAAGAAATCAAGGACCAATTGAGGGATAAAACACTCAGAGTTAATGAATTAGAGGTAAAAGGAATGAAAAATCTAAAAAATTTATCATATTTATTCTAGTATCAAATCTTCACTTATAAAATGTAAATCTAAATAATTGGGTTTATATCACAAGTGGACTGTTTATTGTCCCAAGGATTGCCATAAGCCACTGGGTTCATTTTGCAACTCGTGTAATTTTAGTACTAGTAGGTGTTTAATACAACTGGGTTCATATCAGTAGTAGTGGGCTGTTCTAAGAAGGTATCATATACAGCAGGGTTCATGTCACTAGTAGTGGGCTGTTAGTCTAAGAGGGTATCATATACAGCTGGGTTCATGTCACTAGTAGTGGGCTGTTAGTCTAAGAGGGTATCATATACAGCTGGGTTTATATCACTAGTAGTGGGCTGTTAGTCTAAGAGGGTATCATATACAGCTGGGTTTATATCACTAGTAGTGGGCTGTTAGTCTAAGAGGGTATCATATATACCTGGGTTTATATCACTAGTAGTAGGCTGTTAGTCTAAGAGGGTATCATATACAGCTGGGTTCATATCACTAGCAGTAGGCTGTTAGTCTAAGAGGGTATCATATACAGCTGGGTTCATGTCACTAGTAGTGGGCTGTTAGTCTAAGAGGGTATCATATACAGCTGGGTTCATGTCACTAGTAGTGGGCTGTTAGTCTAAGAGGGTATCATATACAGCTGGGTTCATGTCACTAAAAGTGGGCTGTTAGTCTAAGAGGGTATCATATACAGCTGGGTTCATATCACTAGTAGTGGGCTGTAAGTCTAAGAGGGTATCATATACAGCTGGGTTCATATCACTAGTAGTGGGCTGTAAGTCTAAGAGGGAATCATATACAGCTGGGTTCATATCACTAGTAGTGGGCTGTTAGTCTAAGAGGGTATCATATACAGCTGGGTTCATGTCACTAGTAGTGGGCTGTTAGTCTAAGACTAAGAGGGTATCATATACAGCTGGGTTCATGTCACTAGTAGTGGGCTGTTAGTCTAAGACTAAGAGGGTATCATATACAGCTGGGTTCATGTCACTAGTAGTGGGCTGTTAGTCTAAGAGGGTATCATATACAGCTGGGTTCATGTCACTTGTAGTGGGCTGTTAGTCTAAGAGGGTATCATATACAGCTGGGTTCATGTCACTTGTAGTGGGCTGTTAGTCTAAGAGGGTATCATATACAGCTGGGTTCATGTCACTAGTAGTGGGCTGTTAGTCTAAGAGGGTATCATATACAGCTGGGTTCATGTCACTAGTAGTGGGCTGTTAGTCTAAGAGGGTATCATATACAGCTGGGTTCATGTCACTAGTAGTAGGCTGTTAGTCTAAGAGGGTATCATATACAGCTGGGTTCATGTCACTAGTAGTGGGCTGTAAGTCTAAGAGGGTATCATATACAGCTGGGTTCATGTCACTAGTAGTGGGCTGTTAGTCTAAGAGGGTATCATATACAGCTGAGTTCATGTCACTTGTAGTGGGCTGTAAGTCTAAGAGGGTATCATATACAGCTGGGTTCATGTCACTAGTAGTGGACTGTTAGTCTAAGAGGGTATCATATACAGCTGGGTTTATGTCACTAGTAGTGGGCTGTTAGTCTAAGAGGGTATCATATACAGCTGGGTTTATGTCACTAGTAGTGGGCTGTTAGTCTAAGAGGGTATCATATACAGCTGGGTTCATGTCACTTGTAGTGGGCTGTAAGTCTAAGAGGGTATCATATACAGCTGGGTTTATATCACTAGTAGTGGGCTGTAAGTCTGAGAGGATATCATATACAGCTGGGTTTATATCACTAGTAGTGGGCTGTTAGTCTGAGAGGATATCATATACAGCTGGGTTTATATCACTAGTAGTAGGCTGTTAGTCTAAGAGGGTATCATATACAGCTGGTTTTATATCACTAGTAGTGGGCTGTTAGTCTAAGAGGGTATCATATATACCTGGGTTTATATCACTTGAAGTGGTCTGTTAGTCTAAGAGGGTATCATATACAGCTGGGTTTATATCACTAGTAGTGGTCTGTTAGTCTAAGAGGGTATCATATATACCTGGGTTTATACCACTAGTAGTGGGCTGTTAGTCTTAGAGGGTATCATATACAGCTGGGTTTATATCACTAGTAGTGGGCTGTTAGTCTAAGAGGGTATCATATACAGCTGGGTTCGTGTCACTAGTAGTGGGCTGTTAGTCTAAGAGGGTATCATATACAGCTGGGTTCATGTCACTAGTAGTGGGCTGTTAGTCTAAGAGGGTATCATATACAGCTGGGTTCATGTCACTAGTAGTGGGCTGTTAGTCTAAGAGGGTATCATATACAGCTGAGTTCATGTCACTTGTAGTGGGCTGTAAGTCTAAGAGGGTATCATATACAGCTGGGTTCATGTCACTAGTAGTGGACTGTTAGTCTAAGAGGGTATCATATACAGCTGGGTTTATGTCACTAGTAGTGGGCTGTTAGTCTAAGAGGGTATCATATACAGCTGGGTTTATGTCACTAGTAGTGGGCTGTTAGTCTAAGAGGGTATCATATACAGCTGGGTTCATGTCACTTGTAGTGGGCTGTAAGTCTAAGAGGGTATCATATACAGCTGGGTTTATATCACTAGTAGTGGGCTGTAAGTCTGAGAGGATATCATATACAGCTGGGTTTATATCACTAGTAGTGGGCTGTTAGTCTGAGAGGATATCATATACAGCTGGGTTTATATCACTAGTAGTAGGCTGTTAGTCTAAGAGGGTATCATATACAGCTGGTTTTATATCACTAGTAGTGGGCTGTTAGTCTAAGAGGGTATCATATATACCTGGGTTTATATCACTTGAAGTGGTCTGTTAGTCTAAGAGGGTATCATATACAGCTGGGTTTATATCACTAGTAGTGGTCTGTTAGTCTAAGAGGGTATCATATATACCTGGGTTTATACCACTAGTAGTGGGCTGTTAGTCTTAGAGGGTATCATATACAGCTGGGTTTATATCACTAGTAGTGGGCTGTTAGTCTAAGAGGGTATCATATACAGCTGGGTTCGTGTCACTAGTAGTGGGCTGTTAGTCTAAGAGGGTATCATATACAGCTGGGTTCATGTCACTAGTAGTGGGCTGTTAGTCTAAGAGGGTATCATATACAGCTGGGTTCATGTCACTAGTAATGGGCTGTTAATCTAAGAGGGTATCATATACAGCTGGGTTCATGTCACTTGTAGTGGGCTGTTAGTCTAAGAGGGTATCATATACAGCTGGGTTCATATCACTAGTAGTGGGCTGTTAGTCCAAGAGGGTATCATATACAGCTGGGTTTATATCACTAGTAGTGGGCTGTTAGTCCAAGAGGGTATCATATACAGCTGGGTTCATGTCACTAGTAGTGGGCTATTAGTCCAAGAGGGTATCATATACATCTTGTTTCATACCACTGATTTTGTACTTTTAGTACTAGTGGATGTCATTTGCTTCTTGGTTGTTATCACTTCTATTGGATTATTCCCAGAAGTTATCATCTGCCACTTCTATAAGGATTATTTGTCCCAGAGAGTATCATATTCCTCTGGGTTTATATCACTGATAGTGGGCTATTAGTCCCAGGGGATGTAAAATGACTCTGGGTGTATATCACTGATAGTGGGCTATTAGTCCCAAAGGGTGTAATATGGCACTGGGTTTATATCACTGATAGTGGGCTATTAGTCCCAAAGGGTGTAATATGGCACTGGGTTTATATCACTGATAGTGGGCTATTAGTCCCAGGGGGTGTAATTATATTATATACCTCTAGTAGTGGACTGTTAGTCCTGGAGGGTTTCAACTGTCACTATATATATAGATATATAATTTGTCTAAACAACAGCCCAACAAACGTACTTATATATATATGTAACACAATCCTAGGTTTGAACATTGTTTTCAATTGAGACTTGTATATATATATATATATATATATATATATATATATATATATATATATATATATGTAACACTCAGAAACGTGTCCTTCCCCCCAAACGTGTCCACATGACGTCACTGAACTGCAAAACATGTCCTAATGTAAAAGGGCACCAAAGCGTGTTATTTGTATAAACACCCAAACGTGCCCAATACCCCAAATGTGTCCAATCCCCCAAACGTGTCCATATCAAGCTTAATTTTTTTCCTTTACTGGAACTATCATTCGTGTCCATATTATAAATTCGTAGGTTATTTGGTTATTGCTTTTTCATTAACGTATACTCATTTTACTATTTCATCAAAAAAATAGAAATAAATTGCTTTAGGTCTTTTTTTAACCGGCAGTATAATCTGGGTAAAAGTGCCAATATGTTCGGCTATGTTGGATGTAAATGTAAGCAGCCATACTCAGTTAATTTGTAGATATTAAATCAAATACCTCGTGTAGGGAGAATGTCACTCTCTCTGCGCATTAAAACCTGTGTAGCAATTCACTCTTTCATGGTGCCATCAGTTGTATTTTGGAAGGCAACATTCTTTTTTTTCCGCAACTTTTATTTAAAACGGCCTCTTACATAACGGAGATTGAAGTAGTTTCTTACTGAAGTCATAAAAAAATTGGTTGTTACTGGCTCTTAAATTTTTTTAGATTAAAACCCCAACTAGTGTTAATCCCGAATAACCGTAAAAATTTAGGCCTAATCCTAAATATTTCCCGGTATGATAATAAAACCTATGTACAGTATTTATTGTTAACATGATGTCGTTCAAATAATGCATTAAATATTTGGCACTGGACGTTATGTCTCTTGTTTGTGTGTCTTTAGTGATGCTCGAAACCTAAAATTTATTAAAAAACCTGATAAACAGTAAACTTTTGATTTGAAGAGTTTTTAAAATACCAGAACTGTTGAAAAAAGGGAAGTCAATTCTGCGGAAAGGCTGCCGTGCAATATTCGGTTTAATATAAAAGGCATCATCAGAATTTATTAGTACAAAATAATTCACTTGGTAAACGATTAATTCAACTGTACTAAAATTATTTGTATGTTCGCTCTAAATCAGAATGCAATACTTGCAACTTGCATTTCAGTCAAAAGTTAATTCATATGTTACAGATTAAATTTGCAATTATGATAATCATTAACAACCGGCATTGAACAAACTAATGATAATAAATGACCACTTCATCAACTGTGTCCCCCATCATAGAATTGCCGTAAACGTTATTGATGTCATTTGTACATGTATTAGCGCTAAAAGACGTGAGACGTTCTGGCGTTTAACAGTGGACACGTTTTGGCGAAAAACAATTATCGGACACGTTTGGGGGTTATGAAATCGGACACGTTTGGGCAATATTGAATATAACGGACACGTTTGGGGAGAATGGACACGTTTGGGGGAATCGGACACATTTGGGGGGATGGACACTTTTGGGAGTGTTACATATATATATAGAAGTCTATAAAAAAGACCAACCAGCAAATTTACTATGTACCAGATCGTCTAGAAAAGACGATACTGTGCAGATAAGGAAAAAATTATATAAGTCTAGAGATTTGCACGATACTAATATAAGATGGTATAATAAGAAGATGTTGTTATTAAATCGTGTTGACAAATATTTCGGCTTATACTGAAGAAGGCTATTTGTTAAGCCGAAATATTTGTCAACACGATTTAATAACAACATCTTCGTATAATACCATCTTATATTAATATCGTTGTGCAAATCTCTAGACTTATATATTATACAAGTCTAAATTGAAAACAACGTTCAAACCTATGATTGCGCTGGTTAAAAACCGCAATTTTTATACGTGTGCATGCAAAACAAATTTATCGTTAGAGGGGTCTAAATACAGCACAAACAACATTTTCCAATAGACCAAAAAAGCATTTGACTAACAGGTGGAACAACAAATGTTCTTAAACCCTGCTGACTGCCATTGGCGATTGCCAAATAAACGGATCACTGGTGTAATAAATGGATCTTAATTATAATTTTAATACTAAACAGAAAAAAAATAAACTTGCGGAAAAGATGATATACCTCAAACAAAAGGTGCAAAGGTTTTTGTACACCATATCCGGATTTCGACAATTAATGTCTCTTCAGGGATGTTAGGAATCGAAACAGTATTTGGAAAGCCATACAATTTACCTCAATTTAGGATAGACTCTTGAATTTTGAGGAGTCAAAATAGGATAAACGGATCATATAAACCCGAAGGCAAATATAATACAAGCCCAAACGAAAAAATATAAACAAGTCTAAATTGAAAACAATGTTCAAACCTATGATTGCGTTGGATAAAAACCACAATTTTTATACGTGTGCATGCAAAACAAATTTATTGTTAGAGGGGTCTAAATACAGCACAAACAACATTTTCCAATAGACCAAAAAAGTGAAAAAGTATATTTTAACAAAACGCATTTGACTAACAGGTGGAACAACAAATGTTCTTAAACCCTGCTGACTGCCATTGGCGATTGCTAAATAAACGGATCACCGATGTTATAAATGGATCTTAATTATAAATTTAACACTAAACAGAAAACAATAAACTTGTGGAAAAGGTGGTATACCTCAAACAAAAGGTGCAAAGGTTTTTGTACACCATATCCGGATTTCGACAATTAATGTCTCTTCAGTGATATATATATATATACAAGTCTAAATTGAAAACAATGTTCAAACCTATGATTGTGTTGGATAAAAACCGCAATTTTTATACATGTGCATGCAAAACAAATTTCTTGTTAGAGGGGTCTAAATACAGCACAAACAACATTTTCCAAAAGACCAAAAAAGTGAAAAGTATATTTTAACAAAACGCATATGACTAACAGGTCGAACAACAAATGTTCTTAAACCCTGCTGACTGCCATTGGCGATTGCCAAATAAACGGATCACCGATGTAATAAATGGATCTTAATTATAAATTTAACACTAAACAGAAAACAATAAACTTGCGGAAAAGATGGTATACTATATATATTTCTTTAAGGCCATTCTTTTAAATTTGCTCTCTTTAAATAATAATATGACACAATGTGAAATTTAGGTATATTTGACTGATTCTCTTGTCATTTCAGACGCAGCTGCATGAGGAACGACATAAAGACATATCGGCTACGAGACAAAATGAAGTTCTTAATGCTAAACTCCGAGATGTAAGTAAGATAGATGAATAAAATATGAAATTCTTAATGCTAAACTCAGAGATGTAAGTAAAATAGATGAATAAAATATGAAATTCTTAATGCTAAACTCAGAGATGTAAGTAAGATAGGGCTGTTTCAACTGTGGCCAATCTTTCAAAAATACAGATCCTTTGTCTAAGCTTTTCTGACAAAGATCTTAAAACAATCCGATCCCATTTCTGTTTTTAAAGAACTTTTGAGATCTCTGGTTTTGTCGGATTAATATATGCTTTCAAAAAATTGAAGGCTGAAATTTCATTGGCTGATGAAATAATTACCAGAATAGAAAGTAAAACAGAGTGTTGTTAGATTCTTGTAACCAATGCTTAGACACAGGATCTTCATTTTAATCAGATTGTTTCAGACATTGCCTGTTTGTAAGAGGTATACATGGGTTATTTCAACTTTACTTGGTGTTTCAGGTCTATTTGATTGTTTTTTCCTGAGCTGTCTCAGTACTTCAAATTGTGTACTGTGTATTCTTTTATTTTTGTGGGTTCAAATTTTCATAGATTAAGGATGAATTATATTTTCATTGATATTTGATTTTGTTGTTCATCATATTTTCTATACAAGCCTGTAGGACATTTGTGTTTTGTTAAACTCTGAAATTCTTGGTTAATCTTTTAAAAATGAGTACCCCATGAATAAAGATGAACCCGCAGTATATATATTGTCAGAAAATACTGATACACAATGTTTGTATTTTAGATGTCTGACTACAAAGTATTAAAGGAACAGAGTGTTGTTATGAAAAATGAAGTGGAGACATTAAGAACGTATGTATCCTCATTGCAATTCTACTTATATATCTTTTACAGCTGACCTAGAGACCTGACCCTAGAAATTGTTTAAGCTATTACACTCATTTGTCATCCTCTTGTCATCTTTGAACTTATTGGAAGAGGATTTCCTTTAATCCATTGTTACATTATAAATCAAATGAAGTCACATTATTGGTAGGGATTTTGGGTTTTTCACTAATGTCAGATATTTTGACCAAACAAATTAGTTGCTGTTATTAAAACAGGATAAAACATTTATAAAATATTTTGAGAAGACCAATTGCTACTGAATACTAAAGAAATATGATACAGTTTATTTTTTCTGTGAGAATTCAGGGTTGATAACCCGAGCAGACATCAACAATGGCTACCACTTTAACTAAATTACAAAATGTGAACAAAATTCAATAAATATTCTGAATTATCCTTGAAGGAACACTTAACAAAAAACCCTAGGGAGAATGATACACTTGTGATTATTGTTTAGAAGTATGGTTTATGACTCCTTCCACCACCATACATGGCTGTTATGGTTGTTAGAAGTAGAAAATGTAACAAAACAATTCAATAATTCTGGAAAATCATCCATGGTCAGATGACCATAAAACTTATTTGTGATCTTTAATAGAGAATGGTTTAGGATCCAACTGAAATTTCCAAAGTTCTATAAAAAATGGCTGCTGATGTAGTAAAGGGACATGATACATTTATATTATGGTCTTATTCTGATTTGTTTTTGAATACTCAAGCCATGATGGTTGCTGCAGTAGATGTTATTGACTCAAGCCATGATGGTTGCTGCGGTAGATGTTATTGACTCAAGCCATGATGGTTACTGCAGTAGATCTTATTCTGATTTGTTGTTGAATACTCAAGCCATGATGGTTGCTTCAGTAGATCTTATTCTGATTTGTTGTTGAATACTCAAGCCATGATGGTTGCTTCAGTAGATCTTATTCTGATTTGTTGTTGAATACTCAAGCCATGATGGTTGCTTCAGTAGATCTTATTCTGATTTGTTGTTGAATACTCAAGCCATGATGGTTGCTGCAGTAGATCTTATTCTGATTTGTTGTTGAATACTCAAGCCATGATGGTTGCTTCAGTAGATCTTATTCTGATTTGTTGTTGAATACTCAAGCCATGATGGTTGCTTCAGTAGATCTTATTCTGATTTGTGTGTTGAATCAAGTCATGATGGTTGCTTCAGTAGATCTTATTCTGATTTGTTGTTGAATACTCAAGCCATGATGGTTGCTTCAGTAGATCTTATTCTGATTTGTTGTTGAATACTCAAGCAATGATGGTTGCTTCAGTAGATCTTATTCTGATTTGTTGTTGAATACTCAAGCCATGATGGTTGCTTCAGTAGATCTTATTCTGATTTGTTGTTGAATACTCAAGCCATGATGGTTGCTTCAGTAGATCTTATTCTGATTTGTTGTTGAATCAAGTCATGATGGTTGCTTCAGTAGATCTTATTCTGATTTGTTGTTGAATACTCAAGCCATGATGGTTGCTTCAGTAGATCTTATTCTGATTTGTTGTTGAATACTCAAGCCATGATGGTTGCTGCAGTAGATATTATTGACTCAAGCCATGATGGTTGCTGCAGTAGATATTATTGACTCAAGCCATGATGGTTGCTGCAGTAGATCTTATTCTGATTTATTGTTGAATACTCAAGCCATGATGGTTGCTTCAGTAGATCTTATTCTGATTTGTTGTTGAATCAAGTCATGATGGTTGCTTCAGTAGATCTTATTCTGATTTGTTGTTGAATACTCAAGCCATGATGGTTGCTTCAGTAGATCTTATTCTGATTTGTTGTTGAATACTCAAGCCATGATGGTTGCTGCAGTAGATATTATTGACTCAAGCCATGATGGTTGCTTCAGTAGATGTTATTGACTCAAGCCATGATGGTTGCTGCAGTAGATGTTATTGACTCAAGCCATGATGGTTGCTGCAGTAGATGTTGTTATTTGTTGTTGAATACTCAAGTCATGATGGTTGCTTCAGTAGATGTTATTGATTTGTTATTGAATACTCAAGCCATGATAGTTGCTTCAGTAGATGTTATTGATTTGTTGTTGAATACTCAAGCCATGATGGTTGTTTCAGTAGATCTTATTCTGATTTGTTGTTGAATACTCAAGCCATGATGGTTGCTTCAGTAGATGTTATTGATTTGTTATTGAATACTCAAGCCATGATAGTTGCTTCAGTAGATGTTATTGATTTGTTGTTGAATACTCAAGCCATGATGGTTGTTTCAGTAGATGTTATTGACTCAAGCCATGATGGTTGCTGCAGTAGATGTTATTGACTCAAGCCATGATGGTTGTTTCAGTAGATGTTATTGATTTGCTGATGTTGGGATAATACTCATAAATGTCTTATCTGTTGAATAGTTTGTCTACGTCCAGAAAGAACCTAATTGACCAATACAGGATCCTCAGAACAACTAACCAGTTATATAAATCAAATATACTATTGCTAGGTTACTATTTAGGTTAAGTATTGTTATGAATAGAATGCATAGTTTGAGAAAAGTCAAACATTAAACTGTGGTAAATTTTGTTATATTTTTACATTAATTTTGTTCTGCATTAAAAGGAGTAGTAATATTCTATTTATAGGAGGTTGGCTGAGGTTTTAAATATGAATGAAAGAGAAAGAGGTCGTAAGTACTTGTATATTTGTATAGATTAGCTAAGTTATGTAATGGAAAAGAAAGGGACCAAGTGTAAAATCAGCATTGTACTATCCAATCTTCTCTTGAAATCTATATCTCCTCTTAAACACTTTGGTGGATTTCAATGTAACATTCAAAGCACCTTTACAACATAATTATTAAATTCCATCATGAAATTGCTATTTTGTATTTGATTTGATTAGTTTTGGAGTATTCAGTAGTATAACTAGGACTAATGGACTTCAGGGGAATGGGGGAAGGGGGTACAAAACTGTCAGCAAGTTCAGGGGGAAGGGGGTACAAAACTGTCAGCAAGTTCAGGGGAATGGGGGAAGGGGGTACAAAACTGTCAGCAAGTTCAGGGGGAAGGGGGTACAAAACTGTCAGCAAGTTCAGGGGAATGGGGGAAGGGGGTACAAAACTGTCAGCAAGTTCAGGGGGAAGGGGGTACAAAACTGTCAGCAAGTTCAGGGGAATGGGGGAAGGGGGTACAAAACTGTCAGCAAGTTCCAGTTAACAGTTAGAAAATTCCACTTTTTATGAAATTCTTTAAATTTTAGCTGCTTTTGTTGCTTTTCAAAAGAAAAAGGTCTATCAGCAGGTTTGCATCTCAAGTAGTGTTTGACATATCCATTGTTTTGTTATTTGGAAACTATTGACATCTGAACGGCTTTGGTCTTTGTTATAATGGACTACACAGCTATTCCTTTGTGCAAGTTATAGCTGACATCTGAACGGCTTTGCTCTTTGTTATAATGGACTACACAGCTATTCCTTTGTGCAAGTTATAGCTGACATCTGAACGGCTTTGCTCTTTGTTATAATGGACTACACAGCTATTCTTTTGTGCAAGTTATACTTGACATCTGAGCAGGTTTTTTTTAAGCAATAACTGATATCTGAATTTGTATGGGTTCCTTATAAATGTCAAATGGGCTGTTTTGCTGTGCATGTAACAATTGACAAATGTTGTAACCACTTTTCTGTCAGACACCTAAATGCTTAGCGCAACAAGGTGTGCATTATTGTTTTTTATTATGATGATTCAATATGTTATTTAGGACAAGAAGAATTATTACGAGAGTTAAGACGACCATCACCAGAAACCTTGATGTTACAAAGAGATTTAGAGAAGGCTAGGGAAAACTTACGTCAGGAACTGGTTATAGCTGGTAGTCAGAAAACACATCTAGAAAATAGACTACAAGAAGAGGTAAGGATCTAGTCTGGGTAGTTGTAATCAGTCAGGAACTGGTTATAGCTGGTAGTCAGAAAACACACCTAGAAAATAGACTACAAGAAGAGGTAAGGATCTAGTCTGGGTAGTTGTAATCAGTCAGGAACTGGTTATAGCTGGTTGTCAGAAGACACACCTAGAAAATAGACTACAAGAAGAGGTAAGTCTCTAGTCTGTGTAGTTGTAATCAGTCGGGAACTGGTTATAGCTGTTAGTCAGAAAACACACCTAGAAAATAGACTACAAGAGGAGGTAAGGATCTAATCTGGGTAGTTGTAATCAGTCTATGACTATGCGGTATGGGTTTTACTCATTGTTGAAGGCCGTATGGTGACCTGTAGTTGTTAATTTCTGTGTCATTTGGTCTCTTGTGGAGAGTTGTCTCATTGGCAATCATACCACATCTTCTTTATATTTTTATACGACCGCAAAACAATTTTGGGATCATATAATGGTATGATGTCGTCGTCGTCGTCCGAAGACCCATTTGTTTCCGGACAATAACTTTAGTTTAAGTGAATGGATCTCTATGAAATTTTTCTTAGAAGGTTCAATACCAAAAAGGAAGGTTGGGATTGATTTTAGGGATGATGGTCCCAACCGTTTAGGAATTAGGGGCCCAAAAGGGGCCCAAAACAAGCATTTATCTAGTTTCAGGACAATAACTTGTGTATAAGTATTTCAATTGCTCTGAAATTGTACCACAATGTTAAATACCACAAGTAGAAGGTTGGGATATATTTTAAGGCTTATGGGGCAAACAGTTTAGGAATTAAGGGCCAAAAAGGGGCCAAAAACAAGCATTTTTCTAGTTTCCGGACAATAACTTGTGTTTAAGTGTATGGATCTCTCAGACATTGTACCACAAGGTTCCATATAACAAAGGGAAAGCTGGGATTGAGTTTGGGGTTAATTGCCCCAATCATGTAGGAATTAGGGAGCAAAAAGAAGCATTTTTCTAGTTTCGAGACAATAACTTTTTTTTAAGTGTATGGATCTCTCTGAAATTATACTACAAGATTCCATACTACAAAGGAAAGGCTGGGATTGAGTTTTGGGGTTATTGCTCCAAGGGGGGTTGCAATAAGTTGGGGGGGGGGGGGGATTTTTTGTTTACAATTTTTTTAAAGAATTCATATTTTTTTTTTCAAAATTTTTCAAATTTCGAATTTTTGAAAAGTTTCAAGAAGAAATCTTCAATTGCACAGTATTGCGCAATAGATTTGTAAGATCTTTGACCACATTTATTTTGTGTCAGAAACCTATATTATGTTAAAAATTTGATCACAATCCAAATTCAGACAGTATCAAGCTTGAATATTGTGTCCAAATTTGCCCAAACTGTTCAGGGTTCGACCTCTGCGGTCGTATCAGGCTGCGCTCAGCGAAGCATTTTATTATATTGTAGACTATTGCTATAATGATTGTATTGTTTATTTAGATGGACAGAAACCAAGACTTAGTGAGAAGATTTGAAGAGCAAACAATTACTATCAAAGAAATGAACAGGGAACTAGTAGACCTAAGGTCACAGTTAACAGTTACTCATCAAGGTCAGTTAGGATGTATTATAAAGAAAATGTGGATTCATTTATTTTGTAGACATCAATTTTTCTGGATTGAGGAAATTGTATTTTGTGAATATCTGATTTTGTGGTTTGTCCAAGTTTGCATTCAAGCTTATAGGAAATTTATACTTTGTTGAACACTTGAATTGATGGTTTACCTGTATTGATGAGATCCACAAAATTTGTTAGATAACAATGAATTCCCAGTATACAGAATACATAGTTTGTGATGTCAACATGACTTTTATATATGTACCAATTAAAGTTAAACAACACTATACAAATAAATTTTAAGTGTAATAGTTTTGTATAGATAGATCTGATTGGATATGTCACTGTGTAAGTTTTGTATAGATGGATCTGATTGGATATGTCACTGCGTAAGTTTTTCAGTCTACCTCTCCATGTAACTAAATGAGGTACCATTTTGAATACCACAATTTACTGGTATGTTTCGTTTTGTAAAACTGTATCCTATTCTGACCCAAGAACTATATTTCATAGAATTTTGGATTAATTAGATTTAATTTACACATCAATAACCACTAAGATGGAATTATTTGTTAATTTTGTATGATAATGAAGAGAACCTTTTTGTATTTTAACCCTTAATACGCTTAAGAATATGGTAACTTTTTCTCTGATGCTAAATGAAAAAAAGAATCAATAAATTGAAGTAAAAAGGAATTTCAATCATAATTTAAGGCAGAATCTACAAAAGACATGCATACAAAACCTATATGTTTATTGTAGCAAATTACTGTCTATCTGAAACCATGTTTGGTTCAACCATATCAGGTAATGGTTACCTGAACAGGTAACAACAGGTGTGAGGAATAATTTTTATATAAGTTAATTAATGAGTGAAGAAACAGTTCAGACAAGTAAATAAGAAGTGAAAAATCATCAAAATGTATGTTTTCTTAGGAACACATTACTCAATTTGGAACAGTAAATCCAATGTTTTGAATAGGCCAGACTTATTATACATTACAGTTGTTGCCTGAAAAGTATTTTCATATAGATATTATTTCTCTATTTTCAGCATTAACAAATGAAGTATACAGAAAACCTGCAGATGATACAGGGTAAGTTAAATACTATACACAGGTAATACAGGGTAGGTTTTACACAATACACAGTTGATATAGGTCAGGTTATATACTATACACAGGTGACACAGATAAGAGTATATACTATCCTCAGTTGATGAAGTTTAGGTTGTACACAATACACAGGTGATACAGTAACAACAATAACATTAATGTACTGATTTTACTGGTCAGGTTATATACTATACATAGGTGATACGGGTCAGGTTATATACAGGTGACACAGGTCAGGTTATACACTATACACATATGACACAGGTCAGGTTATACACTATACACATATGACACAGGTCAGGTTATACTACACACAGGTTATTCAGGTCAGTTTATGCACTAAACACAGGTTCTAAGGTTTATAATACTATACACAGGTTATTCAGGTCAGGTTATACACTACACAAAGGTGATGCATAACAGGTTTTATACTATACACAGGTGATATCTGGTAATATAATACACACTGTTGATAAATGGTAGATTGTACACCATATACATGTGTTAGAGGGTAGCTATTAGACAATACATTAATTTCAGAAGGTATTTTGTGAGTGTATGTCTCAAATTTAGACCAGTAGTATTTTTAATGGCTAAGTTCATCTCCACTCAATTTTAAAAAAAATCTTGATTTGCTGAACCAAAGTGTATACTTATATGTACATGGATCATCAACATGATTATTTTTCATACACATCATAAGTATTGCAATGTCATGACATACACACAATCTTTATGTTAATTTCAGTGCACAGGGAGTATTTCAAGGATCACGCTCCATACCTCACCTGAGGACATACACACAATCTTTTTATTTATTTTAGTGCACAGGGAGTATTTCGAGGATCACGCTCCATACCTCACTGAAGGACATACACACAATCTTTTTATTTATTTTAGTGCACAGGGAGTATTTCGAGGATCACGCTCCATACCTCTACCAAGGATGGATTCAGATGATGACTTAGATGATGAGTTTCAGAGGTTACCGGGTAGTCAGTATGCAAGTAAACTGGCCAGTCCAAAACGACGATCACACAGACAATATGAGGAGGATGATATTATGCAAGAAATAGAGGCAGAGTATGACTTACCATCCTCTAAGCAAGGGTGGAAACTTTATCCAGGTTTTTCTGAAGATGATAGATCATCTACTGTGTCAGCAGATGTTGTAGCAGAGGCTAAATATAGATTAAAAAGTCTTGAAAGAGAGGCTCAGGTGAGAAAATAAAATAAAAAAGAAAATTTTAAAGAGAGGCTCAAGTGAGTGAAATAGATGGGAAAAAATTTTTAAAAAATAAAGAGGAGAGTCTGAGGTGGGTTTTATACATGAAATAACAGTTGAACGAGAATTGCTTAATGAGTATTCAAAAATCATGATATAAAGATTGTAAAGTGCCTCCTTATTAAGGCCCTATTATCTATGCTGGTTGTAGTTATCAGTCTGTCCATTGGTCATGTCTGTATTTTGAGTACCTCTTGGAATAATTAATGATACCTACTAGTAAGTGTTTCATGAAAAAGATTTGAATTTGATTTTTTCCTGTAAGGTCAACGTTTAAAACTTAATTAAAAATTGGCCAAAACTATTTCTGTAATCATAAATGGTTTTTAGAACCCTTGAGAGTTCACTCATAAAAAAATGCTAGTAATTTTAGCAATTAGACAGTTAGAACTTGAAAAACATTTTTTATCAAAAAAAATTCTGTTTGTTTTTGTTTTTACAATTTAAGGACAAAATATTGTGGAGTTGGAATATTTTGTATTTACATGCATTCTATACATTTGGTCTTCAATTTGCCTGTTGATGAATTTGCAACATCTCTGATAAAGGTTAGATCTGATTTTTAATATTCAGATATGATTGAAGTTACATGTGTATATTGCTAAAGCCATATAATATTATAGTTTGTTGATTGATGACAATTAATTGTTAAACTGAAGGTATGAAACCAGAGAGATTTCAGTAGGAAAAATAACTTGGTAATCAGGTAATGTCTTTACAAAAATTTATATATCATAGAGATTATCATAATAACTTTATCCATCTAATCAACCGACAAGGTCACATGATAATCATGTGATATTTAATGAAAAACTTTATATTGTAGAATTTAGATAAAGCATACAGAGATTTCCATTACAATTTAACTAATCCATCAGCTGGTCCAGACGAACAGTCAAGGTCACATGGTAGAAATGTGATAGAAAAAGAAGGTATCAATTTTATTCCCATAACAGATTATATATAAACCTAATACTTCATTGCACTGAGGGCCATATATCAGTAAATTAACTGAGCCATTCTTTTACAAAACTTCATGGCTCTAAGGGAATAGAAACATCGGCATCTAATAAAAGTAAAGACATAAGCAAAGTTGAAGTCCATATATATAGACATTTTTAAATATGAATAATCAACTTCAATCATTATCTATATGTAAATTTTATGTCAGAATTTTGCCTCATGACAAAATATCAGCAATTGTTTGACCTATATATTATCAATGAGTATCTTTGCCTGTCAATTTTACCTTTATGATCGTATCACAGAAACCTATGGTTGTCAATGAAACAGCAACCCAACATAACAATAAAACTGCATGAAAAAGATTAGAAATTTTTGTCAAGATAAAAAATATATAAAATTGACTACATTTAATACAATGTAATGTCATTTATGTTGTTCGATAAAAAACTTTAATTAGTTTGATTGTTAATCTTCAATTTTGTTTCAGTTGTATCTGAAAGTCAGAAGAGAGTAGCTTCGCCTGGTGCTAGTCCAATCCACAGACCAATGTCATCAACACCATACCAGGGTCGTCATTCCAGTCAGTTAAATGGTAAATTAAACAAATAATGTCTTTAAGAATGTTAATAAGTACAGATGATATGCAGCTGTAAAGATTCAGTTAATCATTATGGCAAAGAGTAGGATTCTTAAAATCTTATTTGATATGCCTGAATGAATACCAGTTGAAGGGAGGGAATTCAGATTCAAATTGTATTGGATATCCATCTTTGTGAAATTTTTGTTTAGAATTCTGGTCTATCCGCACTTTTCTATTCATGCATTCTGTATCTGGATAAAGGTTTGGTTACCATGCAGTTGTTCATCAACTTAAAACTTAAAATATTGATGTGAACTTTTAAAATTATACGCCAAATTAAGAGTTTTTGAAAAACTCATCGAAGATACAAGGCTTATAATTTAGTACACCAAATACTAGTTGCTACTACTGGCTGATGACACCCTCATAACAAATACCAGTCTCATAATTTAGTATGCAGACCAAGATTTCGTATTTAATTATGGATTGTATATTATATATATCATTATTATAGAATAACTTATCCAACAATTCATATATAGAAAAAAATTCAACAATTGACCGAACAACTCATAAATTCACGAATGTGCTTAACTCATGAGTTTATTATCAGTGTTGTTCGATCAGGAGTTGAATATTTTTCGATATTTTAATTCTTGGATTAGTTATTCTTTATATTACATTGGCCATGGACTTTTTGATGGAAATAAAGTAGAAAATGAAAGGAACTATATCTTTTACTACCCATTCTCAATTGTTTTGATGCAACGTCATCGGCAATGTCGTGACAACACCCATTGTTGTATGATGTCTGGGGAGTGAAATTATCAGATTTATTTCACCTGTGAAATTATTGGTTTTTATTTCACTGGAAAATTACTGTAATTCATAGCAATCAATGTAATAAATGCATACATTGTTGTTCTTTGTATCCTTTGTTATTCCTCTTTTTGAAGTAATAGTGTATTGCTGATTATTTTATAAATAGTTTACGAGAAAGACCAATCATTTGTTGACTATATTTTACAGATAGTTTACGAGAACTTACAGAGCAATCCACATCCAGGAAGGAACCACCACCCAGATTTGATATGTCTAATATGTCCGATGAATTAAATGACAGGTACAATATATATCACATGGCCATTTTTGTTTAATATCTTCTCTCGTGTAAACAATTTGATTTTCTTTTTATGCCCCACCTACGATGGTAGAGGGGCATTATGTTTTTCGGTCTGTGCTTCCGTTCATTCGTTCGTTTGTCTGTCCGTTCATCCGACAGTCCGTCTGTCCAGCTTCAGATAAGTTTTTGGTCAAGGCAGTTTTTGATGAAGTTGAAGTCCAATCAACTTGAAACTTAGTACACATGTTCCCTATGATATGATCTTTCTAATTTTAATGCCAAATTAGAGTTTTGACCCCAATTTCAAGGTCCACTGAACATAGAAAATGATAGTGCGAGTGGGGCATCCGTGTACTATGGACACATTCTTGTTTTTTTAATATTTAAGAGCAACATGATATTTTAACAATCATTGGGTTCTGGCATCTTTTAAATTTGTATAGATTGGTTATTTTTGAAAAGTTTATTCAACTCAAATCGTTGAATTTATTAAAACATTAATGGATAATTCCTCACAGAAGGAGGTATGCAAAGGGCCCTATTTAACCTGCTAAAGTTGAAGTATTACAAAATACTGGAATCTTACTGTTTAAAATAAGAATGGAATTATTTGTATTGTTAACAATCAGAAGGAAATGAAAAATAATATTCTGTCCATGTATTTTATTTTTTCAAATTCTATGGTTTTACAATATTGATGACAACGGCATAGTCTAGTGTAATATCATATTGAAGGATCAACAAAAATGTTGTCTTGAAATGTAAATAAATATATTTGAAGTTTATTATAAAAAAGAAAGCCTTCCGCTATTTGCTTATTTTTCTTCAAATTTACATCCCACCTTTTATAAGAACAGGATCTGTCCAACATTAAACAGTCCAATGATGACTAATAATGGTTTATTTTCAGGAATGGAGATGAAAGAGTTGAGAGACCAAGACCTATAACAGTGGCAGACTTAGAGGCCAGACCTGGATCACCTAGTATTGTAGTAGTCCCTGGTTCAGAGTCCAGTGCAGCTACATCAGCAATGGAAATAGGTAACCAGAAAAAGGAAATAGACCTTGTACCCCAGTTTGATGGTGGTCTCTTTATCGGATTAAGAAGCTAGATTTTAATCCCTTTTTTGTCTCAGAGCCTACATTTTTATGGCCCCGAAACAAATTGTTGGGGCCGTATAGTTTTACCTTTATCCGTCATTCCGTCATTCTTTCATTTCTCAACGAACAGTTATACAGACTTTTTTTCTAAACCTCTTTACATATTGATCTGATTTTTAGTTTGTGAGTCTACTATGATGAGTTACAGATCGAGTTTTTGTTTGGTTCTGCACTTCTGATTTTTGCCCAAACAACGGGCTATGGACTTTTGAACATTTTGTGAAAATAACAGTTATACAGACTTTTTTTCAAAACGCCTTCACATGTTGAGCTGATTTTTAGTATGTGAGTCTACTATGATGAGTTACAGATCACGTTTAAGTTTGGTTCCACTCCATTGATTTTTGCAGAAATTACGGGCTTTGGACTTTGAAAATTTCGTGAAAATAACAGTTATACTGACTTTCATTCTCAAATGTCCACTCCTAAAAATGGCTTCAAGCTTTTTTTTTTGTTAACGGGGCCATTCATGTCGTTCTGACACATCTAGTTTTTAAAGATTCTTATGAAATTTATATCAGAGGTTTATATCAGTAAGGTCTTGAATGAGTTCTGATAATAAGCGATGATCAACATTTTTTGCAGGAGTTATGCCGCATGGAAATTTAAATTTAAAGAAAAATTGCATTGTAAGCAATCTCATGCTCATATTTCTTGAAGGATATTAATAAAAAGGTTAAAAGCTTACTCTAAAAAAAGTATTAGAGTTATTGCCCCTGGACAGATAAAATATGTGCATTTGTGGGACATTGGAACAGTTCTAATATTATCTAAAGGTGCTTGAATCATATTAAGAAATCAGTTGATTATTTGATGGGATTTTCTTATCCAGTGGAAAATATTACATGATTTGAGGCAATTTCAGATCATTGAGGTTGGCTTCAAAAGTAATACCTTGTTTTGTTTGTATATTAGGTTTGTATATTAGTTTTGTATTTTAGGTTTTCAAGGTTCCAATGAACAAATTTGGTTCCTTGATGATTTGGGAGCTTTAGGTTTAGTTTTTTGTCGAGGGTTCCTTGATGATTTGGGAGCTTTAGGTTTAGTTTTTTATCGAGCCTGCAACATTAATGTTGCGAAAACGAGACATAGCAATTCTTGATTACGTTATCTGTGGCTTCAACATTTAGGTTCAGTCTGTGGTTAAAGTTTTTTTAGACATCAATAACTTGGTGACAAGATAAATTAGTTAACCTTCATTGATTGTTATGAATCTTGGACAGAAGCTAATCTTCAAGAGCAAGAAATAGCATATAAAAAAAAAGTTTTTAAATTCTGTATTTTGCGGATAAATGAACATTACACTTTTACACTGACAGCAGCAATCGCAGGCAAGACACAGGGTTCTATGGAACCCTTTACAAATTTTTTAATTCAGCTTTCTAATGGTTCCAGATTTAAAATTATGAACTCATGCCATGGTACCTTTATTGGAACAATCTACCTCAAGAACAAGTTTTTCTTTTAAAGATTATAAAAAATATATTTGCTGGAACAATAAGAAGTGGTGTATATTATTGACATATTTGTAACATTTGTGTTAACTAATCAACTAAGAAAATTTGTGAGGCAATTTGAATGATGTCAATTTTGATAAATGGTTTCAAGTTTTAAATTCAAATTGATAACCCACATTGGTTTTAGGCCTAGAATTAAATTGCTTTGTCAGATTTTTATAAAAGTTCAATAGAATACAAAACCAAATTTATGTATATTAGTTTGTAAATGGTTTTAGATTTAGATTTGGAAGCCATTATTGATACCTCAGTGTGTAAATTGTTCCACATTAAGATTAAGTATGTCACTTAAGATAATTCAGATTACCTCAGTTTGTGATTGGTTAATAAGAAGCCAGATCTTTCCAGGTTTAGTTTAAATAATTTTTCAATCTGTTTATTGTTTATTGCTATAACTGTCAGTCTTGGCTTAACATATTGTTTATTGACTATAACTGTCAGTCTTGGCTTAACATAATGAAGAAATCGGGTTTAGATTGCATCATCAATGTCATTTATAGAAAATAAACCTGACAATAATTATATTTTTCAGACAGAAAAGATATGTACCAAACCCCAACTGGTCCTGCAGGAGGGAAACTTGCTCCAATATCATTGGATAGTGCATGGAAAACACCTACCTTGGAAGAGGAATGGAAATCTAAGGAAACCAGTAATCTTCCACCATTAGGAGGCAAATTACCTCCCTTATCTTCTGATAAACCATCATTAGATGATAATTGGAAATCAAAAGAAGGTTAGTGACTTCATTCAACAAAAAATCAAAAAAAAGATGCAAACCTGTCTGTTTAATTTATTTACAACTTTTAAAGACTGAGAACAAGTATGAGCTTGACATATTTTATCATCACTGTCTTTAGTGGATTTGATCCATGCCTGTGTCAAGCAATTTATTAATAATATATCCTCAGATATTGAAAACTTTACTTGTCAAGATAAATCAAAATAAAACAAACTTTTATATACATGCATCAGAGACAAAAAATGTAAATTGCAAGAGAGTCTTCTGGTTCTTACAAAAACCAACTTTAATAATTACAACACAGAGGCAATAAATGTATATGATGAACTGGTTTGCAGTGTTTACCTTTACAGTTTTTGATTCTTGACTAGGTGATCTGAAAAAAGCTAAATTATCTATATGAATTTTAACAGATGAAATTAAAGAAGCAGAAGAAAGGCAAAGAAGGGAAGAGGAAGACGAAAGGAGATGGCAGGAAGAAAAAAGGACAAGAGAAGAAGAAAGAAAGAAACGTGAACATGAAGCTTGGGAGCGGGAGCAGCAAGAATTAAACAAGTTACAGGTTTGTTTTTAGACTTAGGAGAAGGTGATAACTTTGCAAGTAACTTGATTATTGGGATTATCATAGGAGGGGGTCCTATGATAATATCACATTTTATAGAGAGGCCAAGGAGAGGAACCTATGATAATGTCAAATCTTATAGAGTCCTAGGAGAAGGGTGTATGATAACTTCATACTTTATAGAAAGGCCTAGGAGAGGGACCTCATGGTTACTTCACATTTTATAGAGAGTCATGTGAGACAGACCTATGTTAACTTCACATCTTACAGAGCGGTCTAGGAGAGTGACCTATGATACCTTCACATATTATAGAGAGGCCAAGGAGAGTGACCAGTGTTAAGTACACATGTTACTCATTTATCTACAGGTCTAGGAGAGAGACCATATGATTACTTCACTTTTTATAGAGAGGCCTGTAAGGGACCAGTGTTGAGTTCACATCTTACTTGTTTATAGAGAGGTGATAAAGCACACCTATGAAAACTACATATAAATACTGGTTAAGAAAGGCCTAGAAAATGGACCTATGAAAACTACATAATACTGGTTAAGAAAGGCCTAGAAAATGGACCTATGAAAACTACATAATACTGGTTAAGAAAGGCCTAGAAAATGGACCTATGAAAACTACATAATGCTGGTTAAGAAAGGCCTAGAAAATGGACCTATGGAAACTACATAATACTGGTTAAGAAAGGCCTAGAAGATGGACCTATGAAAACTACATAATACTGGTTAAGAAAGGCCTAGAAGATGGACCTATGAAAACAACATAATACTGGTTAAGAAAGGCCTAGAAAATGGACCTATGAAAACTACATAATACTGGTTAAGAAAGGCCTAGAAGATGGACCTATGAAAACTACATAATACTGGTTAAGAAAGGCCTAGAAGATGGACCAATGAAAACTACATAACACTGGTTAAGAAAGGCCTAGAAGATGGACCAATGAAAACAACATAATACTGGTTAAGAAAGGCCTAGGAAATGGACCTATGAAAACTACATAATACTGGTTAAGAAAGGCCTAAGAGATGGACCTATGAAAACTACATAATACCGGTTTAGAAAAGCCTAGGAGATGGAAAACTACACACAATACTTCTTATCTTCAATTTTTATTGGCCAAAAATGTGACTTATCATACCTTCTCCTTTTAAGAAACATCTTTTGTGCTTTTTATGTTTTTATTTGAATAATTTCTCACTATTTTCCATCAGGGCAAAGATTTTGATGTGTTTGATGGTGGTGCTCTAGATCTAGAGGAGGAGAAGAAGCCAGAGTCAGAAGACAACATTGACCCAGTGATGAAACAGTACATGGAAATGGTCCAGCAGCAAAAAGACAAAGAAAAAGAGGTAAGAATCATCCGACCAACAATATCAAGACACAAACCTCAGCAGAACACAATATTCTATTTGATTAGTAGAATACTTTGCATTGTAACCCTCATATTTATGAAAAATAGACTTGTTGCATTTTGATAGTGTCATTCTTGTTGCCAGTATAATACATTTCATGGATTAAACTATTCTCCGGAAACTATATTGGCAGTTATTTATTATCAACATGTTGAATAGGTCAGATTATCAGAAAACTTATGTAAAGTGGATCTTAATGAATTATAAATGTGTGTATATCCCTTTTCCCTAGATCTTATTGAGTCTTTAATGGATGTAGGATAGATTTGATCTCAGAAACTGACAAGTGAGTTATTCTAAGATTTCCCATTTAGAATGTTTCCAACTGATATTTGTCTGAGGCATTCATGTGATGATTCTAAGGGTTAGGGTTTGGTTTAATGGAAAAGTACTGATTAATTGCTTAAACCGTGTAATAAAAACTACCTGCCTTACTATTCTATTTCAAATTTATTTCTTTAATTGCTAGGTTTTTCTTTTTTATCAATATATTATTTTTTATCCAAACAGAAGACGAAAGTAAGTAAACAAGTTGTGTTGTCATGGAAATATAAATCATTATGTATGTATCATTTGATTGGAGCTTGGTATAGTTTGTATGTCAAAGCATGTACATTACGATATAGATCATGCAAAATCACCAGTCATTGTGTGTGTCAACATTAAGCATGATTAGTATCAGTAAAGCAGTATTTTGGCTGTATAGCAAATTATCCATAGTTTTTTCTTTCATATATAAGGGCTAGCTATTCATAAATTTAATTTTGCAACATTTTCAAGGTTCATTTAATAATGTCAGAAAGCATGTATGAAAATATCATCATTGTTTTGGTATCTTAGAAGATAAAATACTTTAATTCATTATATAATAAGAAGATGTGGTATAATTGCCATTAAAACAATCGTCCACCAGAGACATAATGACCTAGATATTAGATGTCGGCAACTATAAATACAAAATGTGTGTGAATGTGAACTGAAAGTATTATGTGTGTAAATGAATTTGAATGTATCATGTGTGTAAATTTGGACTGAAAGCTTAAAAGTATCATGTGTGTAAATGTGGACTAAAATTTGTGTGTGTAAATCAGGACTGGAAATATTATGTGTGTAAACCGGAACAATGTATCATGAGTATAAACAAGGACAAAGTTTCATGTGTTTAAATCAGGACTGAAAGTATCTTAATTGTAAACCAGGACAAAGTATTATGCCTGAAAATATGGACTACAAGTATGTCTATATCAGGACTGAAAGTTTCATATGTATAAGTTAGGAAAGAAGGTATCAGGTGTGTAAACCAGGACTGACAGTATCATATGTGTAAATGTGGACTGAAAGGATTATATGTCAACCAAGACAGGATATCATGTGTGTAAACCAGGACTGAAAATTTCATGTGTGTAAACCAGGACTGAAAGTATCATGTGTGAAAACCAGGACTGAAAGTATTGTGTGTGTAAACCAGGACTGAAAGTTTCATGTGTGTAAACCAGGACTGAAGATATCTTGTAAAATGTGGACCGAAAGTATCATATTTAAAAATATGTGGAATTAAGGGTATCATGTGTTTTAGCTAGGACTGAAAGTATCATGTGTGTAAATTTGTAATTCTATAGAATCTGCACTTTAATCAAATTATTGTTTCTGTCATTAAGTATCTTTACTTTAAATAAATCAGACTTAATTTGGCTGGTACAATTATATTTTTAGTAGTACAACTAACAGTAAATAGCTGTGCATTTCCTAATATTTAGCTATTTAGTAAGACTATTCAGATTATGTATGTAGATCCTAGTACCAGCATTTTATCTCATTTGTAAGAATGAAAATGAATGATTTATTTTCTACATTTCAACATTTGGAATGGTAAAAATTGATAGCTCTTTTTCCCATTTTGTTAGGTTCTTGGGCTGTATCTACCCTTGTGAAAAACATGATATATGAAGGAGTAATTATAGTTTGTCACACAGAAACATTTTTATACAGGTGAAAGATACTACATTTTTGTAATAACTAAATATTTGTAAAATATATTGTAAGTCCATCTGAATTTGTTTGAATATAGTCAGTAAATGAAACTTAGAAGAATGTCAATACATGTATTTAGTATGACTTGGTAGTATACTTTAACTTATTTTGATGAGGATATCAAAATAATTAGGATCCTTAGATATCCCACAAGTTCTATGCACAGGTAGATTATTACATCATTTCTATTTTTAGGTAGTGAAGAAGTCAGTAGATGTATGGTCCAAAGGTCACAGACTAAGTCAGGTCAGTTTATATTGATATCATAATTATCTTCAATAATTCACAGTTTGAAGCTTTGAATTGTCTAAGCAAATAAATATTTCATGCTGTAACAACTGATATTTTTCTCTAATTCTCTAATAGGTACTTTGGTCGTGCCCCCTTATTTTTAAGATCACCTGACACTGCAGTCAAGTGTGAGCTTTTTGCCATCGATTGGCATCATTCTTTCTGTCTTTGCCGAACGGTTCATCTGTCATAAACTTTTTCTAAATCTTATCTGAAACCAGTTGACCAACTACAAGCAAACTTGGCCTGCATCATACATGGGATGTCCTCTACAAATGCTCCTTTAAATTTTGTGTGATCGGATAAAGAACTTCAACCCGCCAAAATTATAAGGTTTGATATTTTTTTAGAAATAAGGGAATGATGATCCTCTACAAACTTTCTCCTTTAATGTTGATCAGATGGCAGCCTCAGTGGCACAATGTACAAATTAAAACCATATGGAAAATCACATTCCTATAGTTGTTCATCATCAGATGAAAAAAAACATGGCTGCTAGAGGAAATCTTTGATTGTGATAGATTAGTTTTCAAACATTTCATTTTTGTCGAGCCTGCGACTTTTGTCGCAGAAAGCTCGACATAGGGATAGCGATCCGGCGGCCGGCGGCGGCGGCGGCGGCGTTAGCTAACTTCTTAAAAGCTTTATATTTTAGAAGATGGAAGACCTGGATGCTTCATACTTTGTATATGGATGCCTCATGTTACGAAGTTTCCGTCAGTCACATGTCCAATGTCCTTGACCTCATTTTCATGGTTCAGTGACTACTTGAAAAAAAAGTTCAGATTTTTTGTAATGTTAGATTCTCTCTTATTATAAGTAATAGGATAACTATATTTGGTATGTGCGTACCTTGCAAGGTCCTCATGCCCGTCAGACAGTTTTCACTTGACCTCGACCTCATTTCATGGATCAGTGAACAAGGTTAAGTTTTCGTGGTCAAGTCCATATCTCAGATACTATAAGCAATAGGTCTAGTATATTCGGTGTATGGAAGGACTGTAAGGTGTACATGTCCAACTGGCAGGTGTCATCTGACCTTGACCTCATTTTCATGGTTCAGTGGTTATAGTTAAGTTTTTGTGTTTTGGTCTGTTTTTCTTATACTGTATGCAATAGGTCTACTATATTTGGTGTATGGAATGATTGTAAGGTGTACATGTCTAGCTGGCAGGTGTCATCTGACCTTGACCTCATTTTCATGGTTCAGTGGTCAAAGTTAAGTTTTTGAGTTTTGGTCTTTTTTTCTAATACTGCATGCAATAGGTCAGCTATATTTGGTGTATGGAATGATTGTAAGGTGTACATGTCTAGCTGGCAGGTGTCATCTTACCTTGACCTCATCTTCATGGTTCAGTGGTCAAAGTTAAGTTTTTGAGTTTTGGTCTTTTTTTCTAACACTATATGCAATAGTTCAACTATATGCAATAGTTCAACTATATTTGGTGTATGGAAATATTTTATGATCTATATGTCAGTCACGCAGGTTTTATTTGACCTTGACCTCATTTTCAAGGTTCATTGCTCAGTGTTAAGTTTTTGTGTTTTCGTCTGTTTTTCTTAAACTATAAGCAATAGGTCAACTATATTTGTTGTATGGAAGAATTGTTAGCTGTACATGCCTGCCTAGCATGGTTCATCTGACCTTGACCTCATTTTCATGGTTCATTGGTCAATGTTTAGTTTACTTGGTTAATGTTAAGTTTATGTGACAGTTGTAATAAAGCTTTATATTTAGGACTATCAACATAATATCAATGATTAGTAAAGAAGGCGAGACATTTCAGCGTGTGCACTCTTGTTTAACTCTAAGGCAAATGTTTTGAAACTTTAGGTGATTTAGGTGAAAAGCCATTCATACCTAAATTTATGAGAAGTTATCTGCCGTCCAGTAAATATGGACTACATCTGTGAGTGATGCAGGCTTCCAGAGCCTCTTGTATTCTTTTTGCAATAAATAATCAGCCTTTGGAATAATTGGTTGATTGCCACTATTTAAATAGACATTTTTTTAAATAATAAAACCCTGATTAAGTCTAGATCTCTTTAGATGTCTCATAACCACAATTTGGCCATTGAAGTTTTCTGTTGTCCTGTCTGTTGACGGAGAGATATCAGTACATAATGTTTTGTTTTTGCAAGGACACTCCCATTTAATCATGACAATGTCTTTGTTTTACTGACAATGTCGTCTTTGTTTTACTGACAATATCTTTGTTTTACTGACAATGTCGTCTTTGTTTTACTGACAATGTCGTCTTTGTTTTACTGACAATGTCTTCTTTGTTTTACTGACAATGTCGTCTTTGTTCTACTGACAATGTCTTTGTTTTTATGTCTTTGTTTTACTAACAATGTCTTTGTTTTACTGACACTGTAGTCTTTGTTTTACTGTCAGTCTTTGTTTTACTGACAATGTCTTTGTTTTATGTCTTTGTTTTACTGACAATGTCTTTGTTTTACTGACACTGTCGTCTTTGTTTTACTGACAATGTCGTCTTTGTTTTACTGACAATGTCTTTGTTTTACTGACAATGTCTTTGTTTTACTAAGTAAAAGAGAAGGAAACCAAATTATTATGGTATACATAACCTATTACTTATTAAAAGTAATGAAAAGTCTCTCCCTGTTAATGAACATCTAAGAGATCCACAAAATGGCTGTTAATTCAAAAGTGAAAACTAATTTGTTAGTGAATGACTCTCTTATGCGATATATATATAAAAAAAAAAAATGCTTGTACTGTTTTACACAAAGCATTATTAAACACACATTTTATTTTGGGTTTCTTATATTGTTGTATAATATATTTTTGTCAAATTTAAAAAAAAATCATTTACAACAACAACAACAACCCCTTGAATATGTTGTAAAAGTCAAACATACAATAAAAATCCTGCACCTCGAAAAATATTAAACGAGTGACTGAACAACACATTAATTCACTAATGCATGCAGCGCATGAGTTAATTATCATTGTTGTTTGGTCAATTGTTGAATATTTTTGGATGTTTGAATTATTCGATTAGCTATTCTTTTTATTACATTGACTGTGTGGTTTTTAATGGAAATAAAGTAGAAAATAAAAGGAACTTTATTTTTTTGTACACATTCCCTAATATTTTGATGTTATGTCATCAACAATGTCTTGACAACACACATTGTTGTATGACATTAGAGGAGTGAAATTATCGAAGTTGGTTTTTATTTCACTGGGAAATCACTGTAATTCATTACAACCAATGTCATGATGATATTTATTTTGTAGGACACAAACACTCAATAACAACAATGTCTTTCTGTTACTGAGTAATTAAATATATTTATTTGCATTTTTTTAACCCACCTAGTTAGGAATATTTTTTTTCTGTTACTGAGAATACAATCTCACATATTTATTTGTAATTATTTTTGTAGGACACAGTCACCCAATCAGAACAAGATATTTCTGTTGCTGAGGAAATCAATAGGTAAGTATTGAAATAAATTTATAAATTTATAAATAATCCTAATGTGAAAAAATTTATAAATAATCCTAATGTGAAAAATGGCCCATAGGGCTATCTTCAAATTTTCAAATCTTTTCACTGAAAACAGTCTAGATTTTTGTGTGTATAGGGATTCCCTCTACAGAGATGTATCATATTGTGTTTAGAAATCTACTGAAAATAACATTTTTCTCTTACTTTGCCAATCTGAATCAATTTAAGCAGATGAACAGAATTGAAAGTAATTTATGCAATATTCATGTTTATTGTGCTCAAATGAAAGACGTAATCACCAAAATCAGTAAAAATTTTAAGATTTCTTGTTTGCTGAATTTTATAGTCCATATCTCTGCATACATTATAGAAATAAAAGGATTCTGATGACAAAAAATAACTTTAATAATATTGAATAATTAATATATAAAAAAAAAAATCAATCACCTGATTGGTTATGTTATAAGATCACATGACTTGTATCTTATTGTAAGCTTCAAATTATTATTATTTAACAGTTGTCATTAATTAGATTAAACCTATAGGAAATGAGGAAATTGACAGTTTCAGACACTAGAGTTGAAGAGACTGATATTTTTAAGATGTAAGGCCAAAATTCAAGCTGTTCTTGTCTAGCATGAACACAGCCAACGAATCAAGATTGTTTTATAATATAAGTAGTAAAGATTTAGCTATATCACCATATTCCCTAACATAAACCTTCATATATCAAATTTTTAGGGCCAATTAAGATGTTTACATCCTTATCCTTTTCATCCCATGCCATTATACCCACTGCTTGACATTTACTTAGAACAGGACAATTGAGATGATTTGAAAAGATATAATTAAAAACAGTAAATGTTAGAAGTACATATAATTCAGGCATCAAACTGTTAAAGTAAATAGTGAAACAGGAATTTTGTGAGATCAACTCCTGCCACCAAAAAATGTGGTACAATTTTTGGAATGATCTGAGTTGATTTTAATGTTTTAATGTGTTACATCACGTAATACTATTAATCTTCCTGTTTATATATGTATAGCATGATACACAGTATAAAGGATACAGGGTATGCTATATGGTACCACAGGTTGGTAACACGTGTGACACAATCACCAATAAAATCACAAATCTAATGTCCTGGTCAACATTGTAAATCACAAATCTAATGTCCTGGTCAACATTGTAAATCACAAATCTAATGTCCTGGTCAACATTGTAAATCACATCAGTCATTTTTGTCTGTGTTAGGAATATTCATTACACCATGCAAATAAACTCATCATAGATACCAGGATTGAAATTTTGTATTTGCGCCAGACGTGCATTTTGTCTACAAAAGACTCATCAGTGACAACATTTACAATCAAATAAATATTCATAACAATATGCAATCAATATCATGAATCAAATGTGGGACCTTGGTGTCCTAGTGGTCTAAGTAGTTCATCTACAGTGATCAACACAGAGGTGAATTCAAACCATGTTTTGTCAAGCTGAGTTCAACTCCCAATTTATTTACTGTGATTGCCAGTTTTCCTGGTGGTTCTCTCCTGGTACTCTTGCTTCCTCCTACAATAAAATCTGGCTGTTATGATATAGCCAATAGTGCTGAAAGTGGTGTAAATCACCAATAATCAATCATAAATCGATTGAAAGTTCATTTCACCCTGCAATCAACATCATTTAAGATATTGTCATTGTGCTCTTCCATTTGATATATTTTGGTCATATTGAATTTTAAACATTTGTTTTTTGCCAAAAAAAAATGGAATTTATAATGTTCGCTCTGCTGACTGTATATTTAATAAAATATTTTCTGGGTAGGCAAATATGACCAAAATGATTATAGTAAAAATTCAATTGTGTTCTCATGATAATTTCTGGTCACTGTTAATAGACAATCATGACCTAAATGATTGTAGTTAAAATTCAACTCTGTGATTGTCACAGGCTCTTGTTACATTCAATTTAACTCACAGATTGTGTTAATATCTTAAAAAAGATCATCAGTGTGTATCATTAATAATAAAACTGTCATTTTTATATTAGTACATCATCACAGTAATAAATGCAAGTAATATAAATCATGACGTCACATACACATCAAGTTAAATATATGCTTTATTAAATGGAGTTTAGACACATCATTAATGAATTTAACAATAAACTGCATTTCATAATATAAAACTAAGTCTGCTATTAAAGAGGTGCAATTGGTTCCCTTAGGAATGCAACATAATCTTTACGACTTATTGTCAAGAAGAACATTCAACATTCTAAATTTTACATATTGTTAAGATACTCAACACACACAGGTCATAGTAACATCTCTTAGGAAAATGAACTAATTTGAGATTTCTGCTCAGTAATAAAAACATGCATTCAAAAAAAATTCAACTGTTTGCCAGAAACATTTAATTGGCGGTTGACCTCTTATTTGACATTTTTTTAAATATTTTTCATACATCTTATCTGTTATTCCCTCCAATACAACAAACATGAAGTTTCCACTCAATATCTTGAGTATTCTTCAAAAGATTTATTAAATAACAATGCTGAAACTATTGAAGTTAATTATGAATTTCACATATTTCTTTGTTCATTAAAAATAGATAAGGCCTTGACTAATACCTAATTTTTCCGAAAAAGGAGTATAATGTCTGATTTAGGTCAAATATGTCAATTCCCACATGTTTCTGACACAAAGGAAATTTCTGCACTAAAGTGTCCATCATCCTATTTAATTATCTATACAGTTTTTACTAGTAATTAAAGAACCTTAGTGAGCGCGCTCACATACCCCACGTCCCCACATTGTCACTGGAGAAATAAAATAACTGTAAGAAAAAAAAATTGTATAAGAAAAAAAAATTGAATCATAATTTCCTGTCGATATGCACATCTACATAGTATGTCCTTATTATCTACAAAGTTTCATGAAATTCTGTTGTGTGGGTTCAGAGGAGTTGCGATGACAAACTGTTGCAGAGGTATATTGAAGCAAATAAGTTCAAAGGGGCGTAACTCCTAGAAAAAAAATTGAATCATAATTTCCTGTCGATATGCACATCTACGTAGTATGTCCTTATTATCTAAAAAGGTATCATGAAATTCTATTGTGTGGTTTGAGAGGAGTTGCGATGACAAAAGGTTGCAGTAGTGTATTGGGCAAATAAGTTCAAAGGGGCGTAACTCCTAGAAAAAAAATTGAATCGTAATTTCCTGTCAATATGCACATCTACGTAGTATGGCCTTATTATCTACAAAGTTTCATGAAATTTTGTTGTGTGGTTTCAGAGGAGTTGAGATGACAAACTGTTGCAGTAGTACATTAAAGTAAATAAGTTCAAAGGGGAGTAACTCCTAGAAAAAAAATTGAATCATAATTTCCTGTCGATATGCACATCTACATAGTATGTCCTTATTATCTGAAAAGGTTTCATGAAATTCTATTGTGTGGTTTGAGAGGAGTTGCGATGACAAAAGGTTGCAGTAGTATATTGGGCAAATAAGTTCAAAGGGGCGTAACTCCTGGAAAAAAAATTGAATTGTAATTTCCTGTCGATATACACATCTACGTAGTATGTCCTTATTATCTACAAAGTTTTATGAAATTTTGTTGTGTGGTTTCAGAGGAGTTGAGATGACAAACTGTTGCAGTAGTACATTAAAGTAAATAAGTTCAAAGGGGCGTAACTCCTAGAAAAAAAATTGAATCGTAATTTCCTGTCGATATGCACAACTACATAGTATGTCCTTATTATCTAAAAAGGTTTTGTTAAATTCTGTTGTGTGGTTTGAGAGGAGTTGCGATGACAAGAAACAGGACTGACAGACTGACGGACGGACAGACAGACGGACGGACAGACGGACAGACGGACAGACGTACAGACGGGTCAAAAACATTATACCCTCCGCAACTCATTGCATGGGGTATAATAAGTAAAACTAATGGACAATAAAGTGACTGACTCTTATCATATATTCTCTTCAAATTATATACATTTTTTAGAAAAGAACTCATTGTTTGTTTGAAAATGTAACAGCGTTGTTTAGAGCCACTTTGTCCTAATTTTTAATTGTAATATGTTTATCTTCTTCAGCAACAACTCAGAAGGAGGGTTCTCAGACTGGTGAGGTTACATTGTATATAGAATGGATTGGTTACCATAACTACTTAGTAAGGTGTCTGCAACATAAAGACTTTATGACAGAGGGAGAGAGAGAGAACTTGCAGTGAACAAAAAAAAACTGTGATAAAATTATTGTAGTGTTAAGTCAGTTAATTTTTAACATTTTATTTATATCATGAATAAATTAAATTATAAGGAATATATGCTTTATTTTTATTTTCTTAGAGTTACTGTTGATTAATTTATTTTTCTATATTGAGGAAAACATGCATTTTTTTTGTAGATATTGGATTTTGTGGTTTTTCCAAAGTCTGAATACAAGCCTACAGAAAATGTATACTTTGTTGAACATTTAATTTTGTGGTTTTGACAAAGTCTGAATACACGCCTACAGAAAATGTATTTTTTGTTGAACATTTAATTTTGTGGTTTTGACAAAGTCTGAATACAAGCTTAAGCCTACAGAAAATGTATATTTTGTTGAACATTTAATTTTGAGGTTTTGACAAAGTCTGAATACAAGCCTACAGAAAATGTATACTTTGTTGAACATTTAATTTTGTGGTTTTGCCAAAGTCTGAATACAAGCCTACAGAAAATGTTTACTTTGTTGAACATTTAATTTTGTGGTTTACCTATACCTATGAAATCCACAGACACTAGTTTCCCACAAATTACATTAATCCACAGTAGGAGAGAAATCCACGGACATTAGTTTCCCACAAATTACATTATCCACAGTAGGAGAGAAATCCACAGACACTAGTTTCCCTCAAATTACATTAATCCACAGTAGGAGATAACAGTATTATATTTGAAGATTTTCTGGCATTAAAAGAGAGGCGAAAGATACCAAAAGAACATTCAAACTCATAAGTCGAAAATAAGCTGACAATGCCATGGCTAAAAAAGAAAAAGATCAACAGACAAACAACAATACACAAAAAACAACATATTTGTTGATTTCATGGTCACAAATTGATTTTACTGGAGACATATTTATGGTCCTCTGTAAGAATCATATTTACCATTATGCACATTCTAAACCTACCTTCCACTGTAGAACCCTGCCAGAGAAACCACTTTCCCCACATCAGAAAGTGGTTAGGACTGGAAGTCTCACATGTTATGTCATGGCACTGAATAGTTTTGTGACTTATCACATCTATCTGATCAAACTTTTGAAAGGGAGGATACAACAGATACAGTTAGGCATGCTCCTCATCTTGACTTAACATCTAGAAATTGACATTGAGAGATGATTTCAATTTTCTCATTGTAAACTTTTATGCAGCAACATTCCAGTTGTTGGAGTAGTTGATCTCCCAGTTGACACAATATTTTAGATTGGACTGCTTCTTACAACTCTTAGAAAGTTTTATGAGTGCAATCTCAATTTTGTAATGAGATGAATAAGTTATATCCACCACTCTAGAAGTGAGGGCTATATAATGCACTCCCATTGTCCACCCATGTCAATCAGTTCATTCAACAAACATTCCTGTCACTCTTTTCTAAGGTACAACTTTACAGAATGACTTCATATTTGATCAGCAGCTAATCTGTAACGAGTTGTAACACGAGCATTTTTTGGATTTGTCTGTCACCTCCTTCCTGTTTGCTAACACTTTGAATATTTAAATATGTAATTGAACTTCACTACACACTGTTGATTACGATATTTATCCAATCGAAAAATTTGAACTTTCAAACTTTAAAATTTGAAATTAACTGAGTCAACATGCTCCTTTTGTATATAGCGAGAAATTAAACAAGACAAATTAAATCCATGGGTGTGATTTTTCACTTGATTTTTAATTGTAACACCACTGGTCCCACTAGTAATGCAGGAACTACTTACCTTTTAGGAACACCCAAGTTCACCTTCAGTTTAAGGTGGGGTTTATATCTAGTGTGATTTTTCACTTGATTTTTAATTGTAACACCAGTAATACAGGAACTCCTTATCTTTTCGTATCACCCAAGTTCACCTTCAGTTTATATTTAGAGCCTCCAGTTCAACTCCTCAAAACCTGATGTAAACTCCTTACATATTGATGTGTCTTGTGTTTTGCATAAGTAATTGGAATTCATTAGATTGTTCTGTTTTTTATTCCATCAGTGACAAATGTGGC